AATAGAGTAGTCCTAGAATGAGCTGGAATTTTTAGCATGTATACATTACTGAAACAATGACATCTACATTGGCTCGGGCATGTCGTGAAAATGGCTGATGGTCGGATTCCAAAAGATTTCCTGTATTGAGAATTAGTGCAGGAAAATTGCCCCAGAGGGAGACCACAGCTGCAATATAAGGATATCTGCAAGCAGGATCTGAAGGCCTTTGGAACGGAGCTCAACAGATGGGAAACCTTGACATCTGAGCATTCAGCCTGGAGGCAGGCGGTGCATCATGGTCTCTCCCGTTTTGAAGAGACACTTGTCCAGCAGGCTGAGGCAAAGAGGCAGTCCCGAAACCAGCAAAATCAGGGAGCTGGACAGGGGACGGATTGTCTTCAGTGTGGAAGGGATTGTCACTCTCGAATTGGCCTTCTCAACCACACTAGACACTGTTCTAAGTCTTCTATTCAGAACATCTTACCATAGTCTCTCTGAAGGATGCCTAATCTAAGGTAGATATGTATATATTTGCCTGGAAGTAAGCATAATTGGATTCAGCAGAGCTTACCTTTAAGTGAAAAAAGATACATAGAAAGAGAAAGAACTGGGCTAGTTACACCCAGTAAAGAAAATTTGGCATAAGATAGCGCTGAAAGCAGGAAGCCTTGTCTGTTTACAAAAGTTGTACAAGGAGATAAAGTCATTTAACTTTTTCAGCTCACCTCATTATTTTCAGCCAGCTCAATAATTTAAAACAAAATAGGAAAGCTAGAAAACTAATGTTTCAGGCTTCCAGGGGACAGTATCACTTTAGAATAAAGCATTTTCTGAACAAAAGTAACACATAGGATTTCCCCAAGTGAAACCTACAGAGACCCAAGAAATAAATCTGTTGTTTGTAATTGATCTTGCTTGCAGTCAAAATCTCCCAAAGGAGACCGGTAAATTGTTACATATTGTGGGTTAATGCAGTTTCCTGGATTAACAGCATTTGCTAGAAAACAATAAACAGCAGTTTGCAGGCACTGCCTTCTACTAAAAATCCTCAGTGAGTGTTACTATGTGTTAACAGTACTGCTAAAGAGCTTCATTCGTTTTGGAGAATGAAAGCAATGAACTTTCAGACTTTTGAATGAACAACTAAAAGATGCCACTGCTGGGTCAAAGATTTGACATCAGCTTTAAAAAGGCTATGGGGGTTAGAGGAAGTTGAACAGGAAATAAGGATATGACTTCTACTGTCTGTGATTGTTTTGAAGCCATGGTTTGTAAATACAGGCTGGTTGTGAATTATTTCTGTTTCATTTGTCTTAAATGGGACAAATTTTGACTTAGAAGTGCTTCCTGCCTTATATCCTATTTCACTTAAATGTCTCAGCTGTGCTTCCCTGTATTTTCTGCTTATGGTCCATTAACTTGGGGGTGAGCAACCTGCAGTCATCTGCTGTTTCCCATGTGGGCCCAAAACCAATGGAGGCCATTGGAAAATTCATGTTTTTCTAAAACTCAGTTGATCACTTACTGCAGATGAAAGGAAATTTTCATTCCATGGGTCTTCTTAGCTTATCTTGGCATGCATATTAGTGCATTTGTTCTCAAAGGAACAGGATCAGAAACCTAGAATAGCAGTGTTTTGTTGGGGAGCTGTCCTGCTCCGTTTCACCGATCATACTAAACTAATAATAATATATATTCATGTTTCCATTTTCCTTACAGAAATCCTACAAAATAAGTGCAAAACACAGTCTGAAGGCATTGGAACAATTAGAATTGACTGATTCTAGGCACTAATTGGGAGAGAGATGACATCAATACTGTGCACAATCTGCTCTGATCTCCTTGAAAAAAGAAGTGGATAATAGTATAAGAATTAATAATAGTAGACAACTAGTATTCCCACACATATAATATAATACATTTTATTGTGGTTATTTTATCACAAAGGGAAATTACAGTGAAGGAGGATATTCAAAGGATATTTTAGAAAGTCTTTGAGGCAGATTGAGGAAAACATTTAGAAAATTGTAGATGGTTAAAAAAAATTTTTACTGGCTCTTTGAACGCCTCTGCCTTGGAGAACTTCTTCCTGTGTTTCAAAGTCAGCTTTCTTGTAAAGATGCTAGAGATGACTTACAATTTCCTCTTAGAAACAGTAACAAGTGGTGATCAGATGTTTTGCCATATTGACTTTGGGTTTTATCACTATCAGGACAAGAACATGGGGCAAGGAGGAGACAGGAAAGATAGAGGTAGTTATCCATTCACGGGGGCGGGGGAGCATAATACAGGATTTTAAATATCCTGGTCCTCAATCCTGCGTTCTGTTTAAAGAAAAGTTTATATTTTCTTTGGGTTACATTTAAATCTCTTTTTTTCTTTTATTTTTGTTGAGCACTGAATGCAGGTTTTTTGTCAATTAGTTAATTGCACATTAATGTAACCTTTGTGTGCAGTTCCACACTCCTGAAGAACAGATTGCAGAATCAGAAACACTATTTTTATGGACTATACCTGTTCTGAGAGCTGTAGTACAAATCAGCAGTTTTTCAAAGCTCTAAAATGACTTCATCAAGGCAGTGTCTGGCAGCTCACGTGCAACTTGCATATAATTGGTGTCAAAAAAAAAACAGATGCAGGGCCTGGTGAGGAACTGATAAACATTTCATGAAAGTAAGGCTTAAACTAGAGATACAGAATCTTTGATCCTCTGGACCTTTTGGACGTCAGTTGGCACCGTCCCTTACAATTTGCTGTGCTTGGCAGACCTCTGATACGAGAAGGCAGAAAGACTTGGGAGGGCCAAGGACTCTCCAGCCATAGTTTAAGAGGTCTCTGTTGCAACTGAATAACCTTGCAGAGTCCAGTCAGTCTGATCAACAGTACCGTATGTCCTTCCAGCCACCCCAACTGCTGTGTACATTCAGAGTTTAACATGGGTAATAGTGGCTAGACTTATATTGAGTTCAGTGGCACCAGCCTAAGATAGGTTCAAGTTGGGTAGAAAACCAGCATGGTGTTTATGTTGTTCTGTGCCTCAAGGTAATCAAATTACCGCTGAAGAAACAGATGCCAATAAATGGGGAGTGGAATGGTAGCAATAGAACATTGTTTCTCGTGTTTTCCAATCATGGCGTAGGTAAATTGTTATATGGAAGATACAGTTTTGGGGCCTGGAGCATTAGAAGGATATGGGCAATTGTAAAACATGATGTGCTTGTAGCAAGGTTATTATTAAGAAGGCAGAGGAAAGAAGGCTTTTCTCCAGTATTTCCCACTACTATAAAGTTTCTGGAAAGACAGTTTCCTGTCTTTCAATTGCTGCCTTTGGCCCAAAAACACTATAAAAACTCTTCCTTATGTTACTTTTTTGCTGTAGTGCCATTTGATACATTTCTTTTAGTAGAATATCATTTGGCAGAGATAAGGAGAAGGTACTTGGCAATAATGTCTAGGTAGCGAAAGGCAAATTCTGCTTCTTTACATTCATGTCATCAGTGCTGGATTCAGTGCTGGATTCCTTCTGCAGGCTCTAGAAGTGTCTGCTTAGGGAAGGCCTATTTACTCCTTTATACCTTACAAAATAATATTAGATTCTAAATATGAAAATAAATCTGAAGGCCCTCTTCATTTGCACATGAACACACGCAGAGTTTTGCACAAGCATTTGAACCATTGTTGAACGTATGCATGACATCATTACATGAGCCTTTGTGCAAGCTCTGTGTGTGTGTGTGTGTGAGTGTGCAAATAAACACTTCTGTCAATATTCTTTTAATCAAGAGGGACAAACCAGCACAAAGCACCGCCATATGCTGTTGCTGTGCCTTCATGCTATTATGCTTTTAAGAGCAGAGGCCAGATGTGCTGCAGAGTGAATTTAGCAGTTGTGTCCAACATTTTAACTTTGCTGTTGAGCCTTGAGGCCACCTGTGGGCCCAGGAGCATGCTGGGAAAATCAAGAGGCTCTAGCATCTCTGTGCAGCACACCCAACCTCCTTCTGTAAGCAGGAAGAAGCGTCTGTTAAAGAAAAAGGTGCTGCCAACTCTGCTGTTGCTTGAGACAGAGTTGAGTGGGGAGAGCAAGGGGAGAAGGAGTAAGTGCGTGAGTGAAGAACTTGGTAAGCACTGAGAGGAAAATGAAGAGAGAGTTGAGAACTCAAGAGAGTACGTTGGTATCTCTGATGGCATCTTGCCAAAAATGGGAGGAAATTGTTTCCCCGAAAATAAGACAGGGTCGTATATTAATTTTTGCTCCAGAAAATGCATTAGGGCTTATTTTCAGGGGATTTCCCCCCCGTGTACAACAATCTACATTTATTCAAAGACAGTCATGTCATCTTCTTCTGGTTGCTGCACAATGGTGGAGGGCAGGGTTTCACTTAACTGGGGCTTATTTTGGGGGGTAAGGCTTACATTACGAGCATCCTGAAGGTCTTATTTTCAGGTTATTTCTTATTTTCATGGAAATTATAATAGAACATTACTTGGGTTTGATGGAGGTTAACTGTTGCTTGCTCAGGTTTAGTGGAAGATGAGGCATTGTGGGATTTAATTATAGGAAAGCATAAGAAGTAGCTGATCAATATCTGTAGTTCACTTAAAATTGACATTAATCAGTTTTAGCACTATCTTTTTCTTGTAGATTTTGGAATATTTTGGTAGACTTCTGTTGCCAGGAGATAATTCAGTAGCTGTTTTTATTTTTTCTTTCTTTTGTAGCTAGAAAATTAGACACAATTAAATATGCAATAAAGAAGATATATGCAAATGTTTGTACGTACATGAGGAAGTGCCTGAATATCTCTAGGCTTTCTCATGTCATCAGCATTCAAAAGGTTTTGTTTACACAATAATATTAATTATTGTGCAAAAATATTAATATTACAATATTAATATTTGTAATATTAAGTTTCATTCTAAACTGTTGTACGAAAGTTTTTTTAAAAAGGTGTCTTATTTTCTCTCTCAATGTGGTTATAATGCCTGACTGACATGGATCATCCTGACCCTTGCAGGGAAGGCCGTTCTAATGCCCACTTGAAAGGAGATTACCAAAGAATTGGAGATGTTATGCTGAAGAACATTCAGAGTATGAAGGTATGAATCAAATACAGCCTTTAAACCTTCAAGCATAATGAATGGAAATTGGGGATGGGGAGAGAGATGCATCCATAACCATGCATGCTTACACTTCTTTTCTTTAGCGGATAATAAATAGTACAGTGTTTGCTATGTTTTCTTACTCAAAAAAAAAACAACAAGTCAATGAACAAGTAAGTCAATGGGGAGTGGAGTTACTACGGTTGCAGGCTGCTCCGTTTGGATCTCAGAACATCATCCTACCTCTACTCAGTTATGATGTTTTGTACATCGTTATAGTCATTCTTAAAAGTAACTTTCCAGATTCTGGTTGAGAGCAAGTTTTAATGTATGTGTAAAAGGAGGTAAAAGGAGACAATCATTAGTTCATAATGGTTTTCTATATGAGATATTTTTGAGATGCAGAATATGTGCTTTTATATGAAAGCACCAATTATATGTAGTTCTAAGCACCTGTTGGAATGGAGATTGGAAGGCTTGTAGTCTGGTGGAGCAGCATCCAGTTGTGGCCCGTCAGTGTCCTGGGCAACCCATGTTGGGAACCACTGTTTTTAGGGTTAACATGAATGTGACAACCCCAGTTGGTGGCAGCTGTGACACAATCCCACATGGGAGGTATCATGGTTTAAAACATCCGCAGAACATCCCCACAATGATGTCAGAGATGGTTGGGGGCCAAAGTACTTTATGAAGGCCAAACATCTTTATATCTTTTAATAAGCGTCTCCAGAATATGAGTCTTATAGGAAGTGGAGCATTCTACCTGGAAAAGTGATCATTATTGGAATGATCCAGCCTTTGAAGTTAGTGGTCCTCTTGAGTGGCCTTCATCAGACATTTGTAGAGTACCACCATGTAGACCAAGAGCGAGGAAAGTGTGGCCCTTCAGGTCCTGTTGGCCTGCAGCTTTCATCTTCTCTCAGCGTTGAAGGTACTGCCTGGCGCTAATAAGAATTGCAATCCAGCAGTCTCAGGTCTCCTGCCCCTGATTTAGGGAAGGGGTTTTGGGATCCTTAGATGCCCTAGGTAGATTGTTCACATGGTTGAATAATAAGTCTTAGCATTTTTGCAGATACAACAGAACAACTAAGATATTTTTTAGTATGACAGGAGTGTGGTCCCACTGCTTTTGAATTTCAAGTATATTGCCAGTCAGTCTAATCATTAGGACTCTCCTGAGTTCAGGAAGATGGTGGTCAGGGAAGAGTCTTCTCAGTTGTGGTACCCCACCTCAAAAATGTTCTTCTCAGGAAGGTTCACCTGGTGAGCACACAGATCTAATTCCTGTACCAGGCAGAAACCTTCTGTTCTACCAGGATTTTAACCAATTTTAAGCCATTTGGAAGCTGTGCATGTATCTGTTGCATTGTAGCATTCTATCTTATTGTGCTATGATGCCACTGGATTTCCAGGTTCAATGTGTTGTTTCATCATTCTACCTCCAACGGCCCCAAGACCTGGTTTCGAATACAAGCATCAAAATATAATGCTTCAGCTTACATTCTCTCTTCCTCCAGCAACTGACAGTTCATTTGTGGAAGCACAGTGAGATCCTGGTTGAGTTGGAGAATGGGATCAAGAGCTCTCGAAAGCTAGAGACATTATGCAGAGACTTTGAGATGCAGAAAGTCTGTTATCTACCCCTCAACGCCTTCTTTCTCAAGCCTTTGCACAGGCTTATGCACTACAAGCAGATAATGGAGAGGCTCTGTAAACATTATCCACCAAATCATGTGGACTTCAGGGACTCCAGAGGTGAGTATTTTGGATTATCTTCTTGTGCCAGTGGTTCTAAATCCCTTATATTGTAGATGGGTGTAATTCAACCTCAACAGCCCCTTATTGTTTTCTAGGAAACTTGTATCGGGAGAAAGTGATCCGGAGGGAACAAGATGGGCAAGGCACCAGCCTCCTGCCCCACTTGCTTCTCCAGATTGCTTCTGAAACTGCATTGCATGGAAGAAAGCACTGCTGGGGTTCAGTTACATAAATGTGCATGTAAATATGGTTACACTCTTAGTGGGGCAATCTTATGTACGTCTACTCAAAGAGAAGCTCCAGAATGCTCTTCTGGGTGTCTGTGTATAGGATTTCATTTGGAGAACAGTCAAACAGTCATACAAATTGCAGAGATGAAGGTAAATATGCCTAGTAATTTTGAGGTCAGTACAGCTGGATTATGACTTGAGGCTTTATTGATGGCAGCAGTGCCTCAGCCATATCAATGAAATTTATTCCTTAGTCACAGCCTGTAGAAAGAGATTTTAAACAGATGCGCACACAACAGCAACGAATCGTTGTTTACGGATATTATCAGTTCAAGCTTTCAAGCTTCTTATGATATTTCTGGGCAGCTAGCCAGAATAATATGACTGTTGGTGGATGGAAAAGCTGAAATCTGGGATATTAAATAGAGAACAGAAGCAATGTGTCCATTTTTGAAACAAGTCCAAAAGGTTGGATCAGACATTTTCTTTAAAATGCAGCAAAATGTTTGTGCCGTACTTTTCATAATATCGTGCAGGTCCTTACCTTAAAAGTCACATATTAGGAAAGTAAAGTTATATAATTTGAGGGGGGGGACTATACTTCCTGTGCACTTGGTGCTAAGAGTTAACTCTGTTTTTTTAAAAATAAAACTTTATTGAATGAACATGGAACAAAATAATAGTCCAGGTATTTAACTAGAAATGCATACTCTGATATAGTTCCTTCACACCATTGTAATCTGTATCAGATTAAAATATTGCACCATTCTTCTGGGGGCATAATAAAAGAAAATATTTGATCGTTGTGGTTTCACTGTGGGGGTAAAGCTGGAGCAGCATGTAAAATTATTAACTTTGCCAATTACAGTTGTCAGAGCTTTCATCCGATACTGAATTTGTGAGTTAACTACCCAGTGGTTCTCAAATGAGAGTCTCCAGATGTCCTTGGACTGTAGTTCCCAGAAGCCTTTACCACTTGTTGTGTTGGCCAGTTCAGTGGTTCCCGACATTGGGTCTCCAGATGTTCTTGGACTACAACTCCCAGAAATCCTGGTCAGCACAGCTAGTGGTGAAAACTTCTGGGAGGTTCAGTCCAAGAACATCTGGGGACCCAAAGCTGGGAACCACTGCACTAGTCCCAATCTTTATGAGTGCATGCTATAAAGAAAAGAAAGGCTGGACTGCATGCTACCTATTTAATAGTATTGTGTAGTTTCACGCTGTGTGCAGTTATTGATCTTCATACTGTGCTGCTTTACCAGTTGCCAGAGCTTTCTTTGCCCAGTTTTTCAATTGGAAAGAATCTCGAGTTTCCACAGAGCAGCTAAGGAAGACCTGCTGCCAGAATTGTAACAGAATCAAATAGAGGAACTAGGAAGCCTTATTTTCTGAGGCTACAACTCCCAGAAGTCTCTAAAATTCTGGGATCCTGGAGCTATAGCCTAAAAAAGTAACTTTTCCAGGTTATGAGGATGGAGCCTCTTCAGTGCTGCTACAGGATAGGGCCATTTGCATTCTTTTGTAGGAGCCTCATGGCGCAGTGGTTAAACCGCTGTATTGCAGCTAAAACTGTGCTCACGACCTGGGGTTCAAATCCCAGGTAGCCGGCTCAAGGTTGACTCAGCCTTTTATTCTTCCGAGGTCGGTAAAATGAGTACCAAGCTTGCTGGGTGGGGACGCAATGTGTAGCCTGCATAATTAACTTGTAAACCGCCCAGAGAGTGCTTGAAGGGCTATGGGGCGGCATATAAGCAGCACGCTTTGCTTTTGCTTTACCAAGATTGCTTTTTTTCCTTTTACAGCTGCTCTGGCAGAGATTTCAGAAATGGTGGCTCAGCTTCATAGCAGTATGCTGAAAATGGAAAACTTCCAGAAATTGCATGAACTGAAAAAAGATTTGATAGGTATTGACAATCTGGTGATTCCAGGAAGGGTAAGTGACACCGTAACATTTGGGATAAACCACATTAAGGATAGAGATAAGAAAAATAATTTTAAAAACATAACATCATATTTTGTTGGGGGCATGGTTTTGCCAGAACAATGTGGTACATGCCCTCTGGGAGTGATACACTTCAAAATGCATGTGACAGATGGTATGTTTTCATCATCTTGAAAAAAGAAAACCTCCATGTTAAGAAGGCTCGACTAGAACTCCTCCATGCTAGTTTCCAGGGGAAAAAATTCTTATGTGGGACATCTAAATTCCTGTGAAATGTTATTTATAGTCCATATTTTACTTGCAAAAGTATTCATATCTTTGATCCCTAAAAGTAGCTGCCAGAGCAGATTATAAAAATTTAAGACTTCTCCATTAAAAACCAGAGAACATTCAAATGAGCAAAGATAACGTAGCAAAAGATTTGTGTTGGTTTGCAGCTGGCAAGATTAAACACGCAAACTATTTGGGACAACAGAAAAGTTTTAGCTGCTTGCGCAGAAGACAACACAGAAGAAATCCATCCAGTCTCCCTTGGGGAGGGAGTTGTGCAATTTGAGTGCTGCGACTCAGAAGCCAGTGATATTTCTCTTGATGATGAAACACAAAGCAAGGCCTCTCCAGATGAGTGTAATTGATGGGCAGACTCATGCAGTACAATATTTCAAATAGCCTAATCCCAAAAGGCATTTAGGACTTTATAGTGAATAACCAGCACTTCTCAGTGGGTGCAGAAACAAGCTGCAGCCCAAGAGAGATTAAACAGGATACAATATTCTGCACAAGTTTCTAAACAGTTTTCAAATACAACACAGTGTAAGAGTTTGTAGTAAAGTTATCCGGATATGATTGAGGCATATGGCCAAATCTAGATAATCCAGGAAGAGATGCAACTGGCACGTGATCAGAGGTTGCCAAAGGCACATTTAGCACTCTAGAACAATGTTGGATCTCGGAGTAAGCCCAAACGATGAGCCTAGTTTTCCAGAGGGAGTGTGACCCTGACCAGTCAGCATCCTTACGGATCAGGAGTAGCGCTGCTGTATTCACACATCCAGTCCATCGTTGCACCCAGGTGTCATTTTAGTACTTTCACAGCCTTCTCAACATCAGGCAGAAAGGAGAGTACAGGCAAATTAGCTGGCACCAGGATATTGACAGCATCCAATTTATTTGATTTATTATTTATTTAAAATATGTTTACCCTGCCTTCCCCCTCGAAAAAAAACCCAAGGCAGCTTACAACAATGAAGGATGATATTTAAAGTTGAAAACAATGAGTATATAATGGTGGTTAACATCATTAAAAGACTATATTTACAAATTATGAACAAAGGAGGCATCGTAGATCAATTAAGAGGCAATATTAAGGCAAAGATCAATAAGTAAACAAACTCACTTCTGATTCCTTTCAGCTAAAACATACTTCAAAGAAAGGATGAAATGGCACTGACATAAAATACTGTAGAGTTAAAATCGCACTCTCTATTTGTTTTGCTTTGTGTTTTTTTTCCCTCTTGGTTTTATGGACTTCAACTAGCAGAGTACATCATGAAAATATAGATATCACCACACTGGAAATAGCCTGCAAGCCTGTATCAATTATTTCAGTTTATGCCCTTCTTACTGCTACAAAATTTCCCTCCTACTTTTCTGTACCTAAGGCAAAATAAGACATTTCATGTGTTTGCCAAAAAAACAAAAAGCTCTTATAACTTACTTTGTCATTATTGTCTCAGAGTTATAAGGGTTTTAACTGTGAGAGACAATAATAACAAAATTGATTCAAGACGTTCTAGTCCTTTCACAAATCTGGAACCTCACATCTGCTGAATAGATAGAATGCTTTGTATAATACAATGACATTCTGAATTGTAGTGGTGTGGAAAAAACACATTCTGTAGAACCCACTAGCCACATTTATGCTTCCATCTTTCTTTTTATACTTTTTAATGCCTTCCATTGTATGATTTTTTTTATTTTGCAATTAACCCAATTAGCTATCTTCCTAGTCTTTATCTTTTTCAGTGTCCACTAAGACCTTATCTAAGAGTGAGCTGATAGGATTGTCGTTGCTGCTGTTTAGATTAGCTGCACCTTGCTCTTTGGTGATTTTTAGGAATGTGATTTTTAAAAAAAATCTGTTGAAAGTATACGTTTGTTATTCTTCCTTGATGCACGTACTTTTCCACCACTTTGGGTGGTTGTCATGGAAGAATGATTCAGATCTTTCTTTTTCTCTTGTGGGTTGCAAAAATAAGATTTTACATTTTACATAGATTTTACTCTTCCTGTGTTTACTCAAAACTCATCTCACAGGGCTAAGGAAGTCCAATTCACTCAGTAAATCTACTCAGTCATTTCTGTGAGATAAGACAGAATGAGTCTTATTCGATCATTATTAAAGCATTTGGAGAACTCTTGTGATGAAGTTGACGATAGTGGCCTTCATCAGCACCTGTTCAGAGAGAGAGAGGTGGCTTTATTTATTGTAGTTTTCGAACACGAGTCAGAAACTTGATTTTTTTCCCCCATTTTGACTCGTGGGGAACATACATGGATACAAAGTGGCAGGGCTAATGCACTCTTCATTGCATGGGCTCTTCAATAAAGATGGAAATAGTTTAAGGAAGACAAAATGAGACTTAAATAGGATCAACAATAGGATTTACCCATATTCAAAGGAGCATATTCCTAAGCAGCTCTACGTGTGAATGAAGCCTTTGGAACTCCCTCCCACAGAAGGCCAAGCTGGCCTCCCCTTTGCTGTCCTTCCGCAAGCCAGCAAAGACCTTTCTCCTCAGGCAAGCTTCCCCTGAATGACTGGCTGCCTCATTGGGGTTCTTAAATGGATTGTTGTGCATCACTGCTTTGAATGTGTTTTGATGTTGCTTCTGTTCACCATATTTTAGTGTAGTGTTTGTCTTTTTTAATATTGGTATACTTACCGATAAGAGAAAGGCAGGGTAAAAATATTTTAAATAAAAATAAATACCTAAGAAGCCCGTTGAATCAGGGAGGATCTGGTGAGCCAAGTCCTCTATAAGTTCCACTGACTGAATGGCCCTACTGTAGCTGCGATTTGCTATGCTTAGCAACAAGCTTCCAGCCAACACGGTTACAAGATTGAAATACTATTAAACTGAATGTCACATCAAAACAGGCACTGGGTTTTTTTTAAAAATGAAACTGTTTAAAAAGACAAAGGGAGGGGGAGTACAACACCCATCATAACAGTGATCTTTGAAGCACAGTATTTCCTGCTCCACACCCTTTCTCTGTGCCGCTGGGAGCCATATGTGGAAGTTCTTATACTTTTTATGCACAATTTGAGAAGGGGCCAACTGGCCTTACACCCACACTGGGTTACTATTTATTCAGCAAGACATTTAATGTGTCCTCCCTGGCTAATTCTCTCATGGATGTCCAAAAGAAATTAAGACATGGTTTGTCCTCCTCTTCGTTTATTGAGTGATGTTATGTGGTTATAACTCTGTTCCTGGTTCCTTTTTAATTGCTCATTACCATTTCCTCTACTTTTTAAATTGCATCCTGGTCTTTAATGTGTTTGGGAGTTTTTTCTTACCTTTTTGGTGCCTGCAGTGAAAACTGGCCAACCCCACATAGACCACCACTACCCTTGCTCCTTTGGCTCTTTCCTAGGTGCTTCCTGAGTTTGCTTTCAAAATCTTGGCATCTGTGAAGACCGCAGTCTCCTTGCTCTAGTAATGCCTACACCAATTTTGGCATGGCGGCAGTCCTCCAGAGTCCAGATGGAGTATGCAGCTGCTGGACCTTGCAAAATTGCCTGCCTCTCCTACATATAAATGTAAAAATTGGGTTGCGCATACACATAGATCTAGGCAGTCTTCCATTAATTTCAACAAAAGGTTATTCTTGGGGCCATGGTTTTCAAACAATTCCAAGAAACCCTGGGGTGGCTTATCAGCTGTTTCTTGGGTAGATTGTCCATCTTAGAAGACCGGTGTCTCTCAACTGATAACTTGCCCACAACTACTGGGCTTTTGCCTAAAAGTAAAAGCCCCAGAGAGCTGTGAATTCCACATGTGGTGCCACGTGCCCTAGAACAGTTTGCAATGAACACAGAGAGTCTATAGCTGTAATAATGGAGTTTTGGTGTGCATCAGTGTCATGAAAGTGTTTCCTGACGAGTCGTCTTCACACAGGAGCAAAAAAATTGTGTCTGTAGAAGCAATTCAATTGATGAAGCTTAGCTGCTCTGCAGTGCAGGAGGCCAGGACCCAAATAAGTAATGTAGCGCGTCTAAAGCTTGTGAGCTTATGACAGGGGTGAGCAGAATGTGGCTTTCCAAACGTTGCAGGATTGCTGTTCCCATTAACCCTAAGTGCCATAGCTACAATGAGGGATGATGAGAACTGTAATATAGCAGCACCCAGAGGATCACATTTGCCTATCCCTACTTTACAGTTCAGAGCAAGCTGCTTGTGAGGCTCAGATTGTTCCTTTGTGAGGAAAGGGCTGTTCCAAATGCCATTTATGGTATGGCACAACAGTGAGCTTTGTGTGGGATGTGTTGAGCGTTCCATCGGATCAACATACCTGTTGAGCTTGTGTCATGAAGAGTCTAGTTCAGGAATGAGCAATTTCTGAGGGTCTGAAGTAATTTTTGCCTCACCTTTGTAATGCGGCAAATGGCCTTTGACATGGTCCCCAAAATTTTATTTCCCCACCCCAATGGAAAAATCTCTGAGTGTGTGATATGTTATTTGAAGAAATATTTGTCTCCTCCTGTGTTTCTTCTAGGCTTTAAAAGTCGTTCTTTAAAGAAATACAAACCATTTTGTGGGAGAAAGTATGAAGCCCACAGGCCACACTTCAACCAATCCTGGATCAATATCCTTATTTGTTTAATTATTTGTTTAAAACATGTATGCCTTAAACACAAAGTATTGAGTGGTTCATAAGATAAGATTCATCAAAGGAGGAGGGAGTATCTTTCCCCTTGCTCTGTGTGGCAGAAATGTGTGGACCTTGAGGGACCCAGGTTCCAGTCCCCATTCAACCAGAAATGAACTTACTGTATGACGTTGGCTCAGTAAATTTTTTTTTCTCTTGACCTGACCGAGAGTTTTTGTGAAGATAAACTGAAGAGGAAGAGAACTACATATACCACTTTTAACTCGATAAATGAAAAAGAAAATGGGTCGAAAGATATATGCATATGGTTGATATTATTATTAAGGTTGTTATTAAGAATGTGCATCTGTCTCTGAGTGAACGGAGATATCCCATTCCTGTAGACAGCTCCACAAAATGGAGTAAAACTATATAAAAATATGGCACTTTGTTATTCTTAAAACTATGTGGATCAACACAAGGTATTGTCCGGTACTTTCTTTTCCTTCACACTAGTAACACTTCTCCCCAAACCTAAAGGAAGGTTGTTTGGGGGGGAAACTGTGTCCCAGGCTACTCCATGGTATCACCAAGATCTGACATTTCTGGAGTTGCCCATGGAGAATGGACACTTCTGCTTTTGTTCTGCAATCGAAGTTAACAATCAAAAGAAAACCTAAGAGAACCAAAGTACAAGAGTGGCCTACACCTTAGTGGATCCCCTGAAACATACTTGAATTCTGGGTGAAGGCAGGCAGAACAAAATTAAACCAGTGATGCAACATTAACCTTCCCCGATTTTCAAAGAGATGTTTGAAGAAATCACTGACCCTTCATGTTTTGCATTTCTTCTCCTACACAGGAATTTATTAGGCTGGGTAGCCTCAGTAAGTTGTCTGGAAAAGGCTTACAGCAGCGGATGTTTTTCCTGGTAAGTGGCCTGCGCTGTGTGCAGTTAAATACAACTGCACAATAAATGTCAATAAATGTCAGCAAGAAGCTTTCAGGGAAGGAGTTAGATGGGAGCAACAAAATAATCCAAGGAAAGTGTGACATGCTCTGTTTCTTATGGGAAAAACAGACAGTCACTGGTAGGTATAAAATAAATAGGACCAAATAAATTTAGATTCATAAGAAGCCAAACTGTGCACCCAGCACCAAGTTCAGTTCTCAGTCAGCATCCATAGAATCTTAATAAATGAGAAAAGAAGTGGAGAAAGTAGAACTTACTGGCTGGAGCACACTGCTTTGGATGGACTATAGCAAACCATTGTTTAGAATGACTTCATCCATAATTATTGCAGCCGTGATGACGTTCGGTCCCTGGAAGGACAGAAAGAAAAGGAGGGAATCATAAGGCATATTTATACATGGTATGAGTGGAGACAGAAAACATTTAATTAGTATCAAGAATGTGAACTAAAATATTCATCTCCTTCCAGAATCTCATTGTGAGACAAAGAACACAGTGTTGTGGAAATTTGTCACATTTGATGGTGTTTGCAGGGTATTGTACAGAATATATGGGTGGCCAAAAGGCCACAGAAAAGTATATAGAAACACTGTTGAGCAAATGGGTAAAATGCATAGCAATAGGGAAAATGCATGAAGGCTTCCATGATTCAAACCAAGGAGGGGAAGTACTGTCTCATAATTAGTTTTCTGAAAATTATGTATGAGCTCTGATTTACAGGTACACATGCATGTATGTCACTATGTATAGAACATAATATATGCTTTGAGTATTAATGGAGGGACTGCATGAACTGAATTCATGCAGTATGTACAGGTGATCCAGTATGCATTACATCATAGGCAAAGCAGAAGTCTCACTTTTAGAGTCTGTATGCTAGGGTCAGAGCATGGAAAAGTCAGTGATAAAGCAGATCTGTGAGTCTGGAAATTGAGTCATGGCAACTGGACTTCTTTCTTGCTAGGTTGAAACATTTTGTTTCTCATCCAAGTAGCTTCTTCAGTCTAAAGAAGCTACTTGGATGAGTAGCAAAACATTTCAATCTAACAAGGAAGTTGTTCAGTTGCCATGACTCAACTTCCAGGTAACTTCACCTGGATGACTGAGAGTCTTCACAGACACAGCTGTGACTGTTAATGTAATGATTATTTAATGATAAACAGCAACTTTTTAAAGTTTGTGTAAAAAATTGTAAAAAATATACAGTAAATCGGGGCACTAAATTAATGTTCGCCTCTAATTATGTCCAGATGTCTAAACCTGTAAACCAGTCTTTGAATCGGCTGCATCCATTCTTGTTTTTTCTCTGTAGTTCAATGATGTCTTGCTATACACAAGCAGGGGTCTAACGGCATCCAATCAATTTAAAGTCCATGGGCAGCTCCCACTCTATGGTATGATGGTAAGTAAGACTGTCCATTAGTGACTGTTTCCACTGGACCGCTCAGACTGTGAGAGGTTGTGGACAAGATTCTTTTGTTTATGGCTTCCTCTTTTTGAAGTATAAGATGCTGCCAGCATTCTCAAGAGGTTAGTTTAGAATTAGAACAACTAGAATGACATGTTGCTCTGGAGAATCAAGTGCCTTGGAAAATTAAATCTGGTTTAAGATTTGTAGGAATCTAAGATGGTGGAAACAGTTGCTCCGTGGACAAGAGCTCAGGTTAAATTAGTTGGTGAATTGTGTGGCCAACCCTGGTGAATTGTGTGGCCAACACACACACACACACACATTGCCTGCATTTAACCCTTGGAAATTATCTGTCGCCCTGCCAAGACGTTGCTAAGGCAACTTCAGTGCCCATAAATCCTTGTTAATCTTTTTTTTTTTAAAAAAAAGTTTTTTAATTGCGATTTGGACTTGTTTAAGATCTAACGATGCATCTCTTCTGGCAGCAGCTGTGAGTTATGCCAGGCAGAAGCATCTTTGTATTTCCTCCAACTTGCTAACATGAGAGTGAGAATAAATCCCTGAACCTTGGAAGGCTACCCAGGAAGCATTAGCAACCGTACAACAGCATATTTCTGAAAAATGACAGCTGCAGTCCTGTTGTCTTGCCAAAATTTCCCAAGTATTGCAACAGGGCTTTAAGTGTAAGTGTAGCAAAAAACCAACCAAACAAACCAGCGAAGTATCCCACGGCTATGTTCTAGCAATACAATCCAAGCCGCGTTCCATAGCTTGCGCTTCCACAAAGTCTGCTATCATCCAGATGTCATCCAACTCCCTTCCTCTGTGTTTTGTATCCTCAGATAGAGGAAAGTGAAGAGGAATGGGGGGTTCCTCACTGCTTCACACTGAGAGGTCAACACCAGACCATTGTCGTTGCTGCAAGGTAATTTGTCCTAGGTACGGGAGGGCACCTTTCAGGAGTTCCAGAGAATGCAGTGCACCCGTCATAGAAGAGAAAAAGTGGGGGAAGTACTATTATAAGCAATGGTTGTCTCTCGGTGCATTTCTAATTACTTTTTTCAGTGTCTGAGAAAGAGGTGTTAGATGGCAGTGGGTTTCCATACCACTTTTTATAGCATGCTCAGATAAAATCTAACACAGGAAAATAGGTTCCAAAGTAGATTCAGCTTAAATATGACCAGCTTGTGAGAGCTGGCAAGAAAAGTCACATTTCTTTTCCTGTTTTCAGTAGTCGCACTGAAATGGACAAGTGGACTGAGGACATACAGATGGTAATTGACTTGGCAGAGAATTGCAATGGCCCTGCTCCAGAATTCCTGGGCAGTAGCCCACCGGATACTAGTAAGTACAGAATGAGAAAAGGTCAAATGAAGTGGAAAAACACCCACTACTTAATGCAATTACAAATAGACCCAGTTATTGGAAATCCTAGCATTGATTTGTTATCATTACAATGGGCAAAATCCTGTGGGGTTGAAATTGTGCCATACAAACTGGATCTGACACCAAAAACAACTACTTGAATTGGTGGCAATCCAGCAGCAATTTCTGACTATTAAAAACACCCTGTTGCAAGACTTCCAAAGATTTCCCCAGGACAAAAGGGAACACTCTGAACCAGAAAAGGGGGGGGGGAGAGATAGGAAGCTTTCAGTTCAAGTAGTTATTCCCTCAGAGAGAGAATGTTTTTAAAAACTTCTTTGTAAAGTTACACCTTAATACATTTTCTGAAAATACCAAGGGAAATGGGGCCATTGCTGAGAAGGCCCAATTTCTAGTTCATGTACTTTTGAACTCTTTTGGGGTGGCCACTTTTAAAAAGGCCTGGAAGGAGCAGTTGAAATGGGTAGTTATTCTTTGGAAGAGACGCTCCAATGTGTAACAAGGTCCCAAGGCTTTATACACCAAAACAAAAACCTTGAATTTGTCATGGAATTTGACAGGGAGACAATGCAAGCAGACCAGGTCTGGGGAGAACTTAGTTACCCTCAAATCAGCCCGGTTGCCGCATTTTGGACCTGTTGAAGTTCCTGTACCATGTAGCCCCATGTAGAGAGCATTACACTAATCCATATCTGAGATTACCTGCGCCAGAACTAACATCATCAGGTAGGGGCACAACTGAGCAATCTGCCTAAATTTGAGGTAGTTTATATATATATATATACATACACACATACACACAGTGGGGTCTTGACTTAAGAACTTAATCCGTATTGGAAGGTGGTTCTCAAGTCGAAAAGTTCTTAAGTCGAATCTGCATTTCCCATAGGAATGCATTGAAAACCATTTAATCCGTATCTGCTCTTTTCTGTCCATAGAAACTAATGGGAAGCTGCTATTCTGTCTTCTGCCACTAGAGGGGGATATTTTCTCTTTTTTCCCCTTAGGTTCAGGGAAGGCAGGGAACACTAAAGGCAGCACTTTAGAACTCTTTTTTTTAAAAACGAAGCCAATTTTAAATAATGTTTTAAAGCATGTTGTGCTGATTTTTTTCAGCACAAAGGCACTCAGGCAGGCTTTTTCCAGAAGCCTCTAAGGGGAGGGAGGGGGGACTTTTTTCCCTGTTCATAACTCGAGGGAAGTTCGCATGTCGAGTCCTTACTTTCCCTATAGGGCAGGTTTGTAACTCGAATTGTTCGCAAGTCGGGTCGTTCGTAAGTCGAGACCCCACTGTGTGTGTGTGTGTGTGTGTGTGTGTATATATATATATATATAAATAAACCCTTAATTTCCCTCCAAGAATAATGAATTGAAATAACAGGAAAGATTAGTGATAATTCCAATAATCAATTGATGATTAAAATAACCAATTTAAAATTATCTACTGAAAATCTTAACAAATTATGAATGAGAATTGATTTTAATGAATTATTTCAAAACTCTGAATAAATATTTCAATTGTACTCTAAAAAATAAGGGATTTGCATTAGAGTCTTAGTGTATTTAATTTTTATTCAGATCGATTACAATTTTAGTTTAGCTAGAATTCATGGAGAGATGACACTGGTGTTCGTCAGTTGTAACCAGTGTAGCGATGTGTGTCTGAAGCTGTACTTGGAGAAAAGAGTGCATTTAATGCTCCCAACAGTTCTGTTCTGAATCAGTATAACATCCATATAGGATCTGAGAATCAAATGTGAAAAACAAAGCAATGGATGCCAAGTTGTTTTGTTCACGAAAGGCCACTGGGCAGTGACAGAGTTGCGGTATTACCAGGATACACCAGGTGGCACTAACCAAAAGAACTTCCCTGAGAGATGAAGACGCCAAGCAATAAAGCAGAGTTGATAGCAGAATAGTTGTATTATCTACAGAATATATACATACATGTACAGCTTAGTCCTTGTTTCCAGTCCCAAAGTCATACACAGCAGTTTCAACAGAGTTCAATGCATAAATCAGCATCAAAAGTCCTTATAAATCAGTTCAGCAGTCAAATACCATATGTTCAGTCCACTAGCCAGAGTTCTTCTTCCAATATACAGCACAAAGACACGGCTTCTTCCAGGATACTCCAGAACAACAACACGATGACAGCAATCCATGACAACACCAACCCACAGAGTGTGTGTGCTAGGTCTGCTAGCTTTATCCCAGGGTTAACCAATCCTGGGATTGCTCTTTCAGCTGTTACAATTTACTCAGCTGGATAAATTCTTAACTAACTTCTTTCTTTAGTAGTGATTCTGACAAATACTTATTGCATAGTACAAAACTGTATTTAACAATTCCTCCAGGTTTCTCCCAAACCTGTCAAGCAGTGCAGGTGCAGAGCAAGCAGTAGACTCAAGTACATGGTCTTGTACTGGATTGTGACATAATCATGGAATGTGAGATATTTTCCCATGAAACCTTTCTTTCCTCTTCACCTCATGCCAACTCTCTCTTTACAAATTTGCCAGCCACTGCTACATCAAGGACTTTGGAAAATAAGCTTTATCAGAGTCCTTTGTATAATGTTTCTGTAGTGTCTATTTTATACAAAGTGTGTGTGGGTGTTTTTTTTTCTTTGCATTTTATAGAGTCCCCTGATGAACCTACTGCAGACCAGGAATCAGAAGACGATCTCAATGCGTCCCGCACCTCACTTGAACGGCAGACTCCTCACCGTGGCAACACTACAGTGCATGTCTGCTGGCACAGAAATACCAGTGTTTCCATGGTCGACTTTAGTATTGCTGTGGAGGTATTTGCCTGAGAACAAGCTGGATTGTGGTCCCAGAGTGAAGGGGTTTGGGGGGGCAGTTTTTTTTCCTGCCCTTCTGTATGTTACGAGGCAACATGTAGAATTAAAACCAACAGAACTTGTATAGTTCAATATGGCAAACATTTTGTAAGCTCTTGATTTAGCAGTTTACACAACACGTTGATAACTGTGTGGCACTTTCCACATATTTGACTTAATTTCCCAAGGAGTTTTCTGTCTTCACTCCCCTCTCCCCATCCCTCCCACAAGCTTTCATTTCTGTTGGCCATTTTGTACCTCAGTACATTTGGAAAAATGAGTTGACCCTTACTCTTGACTGCTGCAGTTTGGAATCTACATTTTAACACAGCTTTGTCTTCTTTTAGGTTGTTTGCTTTCCTTTGAAATTTTCCTATCTTCTCTTCTCAGCCTCAGCAGTCTTCCTTAGTTGTGTTTTCCCTGCCACAGGAAAAGTGTTTCTGCCTTTTTAATGATGCATCTGAGTAAAGCTAAACTAGTTTTACACAGTGTGATACTGAATCCAAAGTGCTCCAGCTCATTGAAACACAGAATGCGTGCAAAGCTTATTTCGTTTTAATAACAGCAAATTTGAATTAAATAATAGAAAGGTAGATAACTCTTGTAAGGTCAGTTTCTCTTCAGTAAAGTTTGTTTCTAGAAGAAGAGATGTCTTGAACGTTCAAAAGAACTTGTTTAGCTTCCAGAAGGTATCAGTATGTAATCATTTCCCTAGAAAATGCCTGTAGGTTGCTGAATTTTGCCATATGTAATAGGGCTTTTAAGAACAATATGGGGATCTAGCCCTTAGCTTCAATGCACTTTTACTAATTTTGTAGGGCTTTTAATTAAGTATTAGTCTGTGGTCAGGTAGTAATTCCCATTGCAGCAGGGTTTTCTTCTGAAGAGAGAGAGAGAGAAGATTGCACTGCTAAATTTCAGGGAGTTTTTCTCTCTGTCATACCTTTTTGAATTCAAATGATCAGATGGAAGTCTTCAGCAGCCAAAAGGCAGATTCCACCCTTTACGTATCCATCCTCAGTTGCACAGCCGTCCCCATGGGAAGCAATGTGCAGTCACACTGTCCTAGCTCTGTGATTAATTTCACATCAGCGTTATAGCTTATGCTTTCTCTCCATCTCTCCCTCCATTCTCTTGTTCTTCTGTCTCTTTCCTGTGGTGGAAGATCCCTTCTCTATCCAAGACTGTCCTTCCCTAACTGCTCAACTGATCAGCCAATGAGCCATTTGTTTCCATTTCATATGTCTGCTGGTACTGAATACAAAGCCTATCCTTTTAAAGTGATGAGGTAACTGCAACCAAAATTTAGAATATTAAAAAGAGTACAACACATTTGGGTGTATTTTGTCCTAATACACACATGGTCTGTCAGATTTTTAAAAATTGTACCAAGGGCTTTAAAAAACAACAAAATAAATATGTTCCTACCTCCTTAAGTTCATGTCTGTTCATAGAAATGGGTTGGGCACAGATACGCCTCCACCTAAGCGCATACACTGAAATCAATGGGACTTAAGATAGTGATGGCTAAGTTAAAGCAGACCTGCTGAAATCAGTGGGGACTTGAGAATGGCTGACTCTGGATCCAGTTTGTTCAGTTATCTCAAAAGGCACTCCTTTGTTCCTCCTGGCATTTTTAATCAGCTGCATCTGTGCAAATGATGTAACTCATAGTGCAGAAACCTATACCATCTACATGTGATGTACTTAGTTTTCTCTCTTCTTTCATATTCAGAACCAGCTATCTGGGAACCTTTTGAGAAAGTTCAAAAACAGCAACGGATGGCAGAAGCTCTGGGTCGTGTTCACCAACTTCTGCATGTTTTTCTACAAATCCCACCAGGTGACTAGTTTTGTTGCTCTTTTGTTTTGTTCTTTGAGGCCAGGAGAGAGCAGTTATTCACACATTATTACAGAAGTCCTCTGGCAATGCACTTTGATTGTCTGTCGGTGTTTTTGGGAGAGCAATAGAGAGAGACAGAGAGACAGCGAGACAGACAGAGAGACAGACAGAGAGACAGACAGACAGACAGATAGATAGATAGATAGATAGATAGATAGATAGATAGATAGATAGATAGATAGATAGATAGATAGATAGATAGATAGATAGATAGATAAAACATTGTCAATAGTGACTTTTGTGGATCCTGCTTCAAATTTCCAGTGGGAATTCCTGCAGGCAGAGAGAGGTGGGAATGTCCTGCCATAACTGCAGTCAGGAAGATGCTACTATATCAACAGAAGCTCCACTTCATATACTTTACTATGTAACGCAAATGTGAGGCCAGGGACACCTGGGGTGAAGCAGCACAGAGTCCTTTGCAAGAAATGAACCAGGGCAGAAGATTCCAACATATCTTCTGCAAAAAGGGCAGCAGCCCCTGCATGTGTTAATTGGGCAGGGGAGGAGATGCCACTTTAAATAGGGGCTACCAGCCACTAAAGCAACTGCTTGGAGCAAAAACGTTACGGCTGAATTCTCCTGCTTGTGGTAAAGTCATTTTGTAGGTGTTTGGGGACCTGTAAATGCCACAGTATTTTCAAGATCACTAGCATGTTTGAGTGGGAAATGTGTGCTTAAAATTCCCTCGCCTAGCACTTGTTGGCAGAAGCTGATGACAAGCCAAAATGCTCCAGTCTCAACCTTTGCTTAGGAGTAGGTTGGAACACGCACACGCACACGCACACGCACACACACACAAGAGACCCAATCATTTTGGAGGGATGCTTTTTGTTGAAGAGAAAAAAAAATACATTTAGAAGAACAAAGAACCAGTTTGATATCTCATGACTCTACAGAAATTAGCCAAAAAAAATGTCATGTATAGAAAATAAGAGGGAATAGTAAGCAGAAGTGGGGATTTTTTTTCTCCATTGCCACAATTAGTGAAAGCAAGTGCTTCTTCCAAGAGATTTCTGCTTCCAGGTATGTTCTGTTATTGAAACGACAGACCTGTCAGAGTTGGAGGTAGAAAAGACATTTCCAGCAATGGGATGGGCACCTGTGGTACATGCACACGCAGACAGTCACTTCCATACTGTGAGACAACTCTCATGTAGAAGCTCCCGAGAGCAGTGAGCTGCTGTTCGGTGAAGCAGGAGCTGGGAGGAGGAGGAGGAGGAACCTGGGCTGCTCCAAATGGCAGACTTCCATTTTGAAGGGCTTTTGAAAGATGCCCTTCACGGTGCCATTCTGATATTGGATTGCCTCCAGATGCTTCTCTTCCCTGTCATCCGCCCCACCCACGAACGGCCCAGGACCATGGAATGTTTCAGCTGTAAATGCTCTTAAAAGCAGCAGCTCTGCAGAGCAGAGGCTAGTCCATCAGATGTCTCCCTGCTGATCTCATGACTTATTTTCATCTTTCATTCTTAGGACAATCATCCTTTAGCAAGCCTTCCTCTGTTGGGTTATTCTCTTACCATTCCTTCTGAATCTGAGAACATCCATAAAGACTATGTGTTCAAGCTACACTTTAAATCCCATGTGTACTACTTCAGGGCGGAGAGTGAATATACATTTGAGAGGTACGTCTGCTTTCTGTCCCACTGAATTCTAGAGGGAGCTGGTCAGTGATACAGCTGAGAGGTGCTCTTAAAAGCTGGAGCCTGGGAAAGTTACTATTTGATATGACAGATCTCAGAGTTCCCAGCCAGTGGCTTGAGCTCTTTGTCAAATGTAGTCAAACCATCAGAAGCTCTCACTCCCTTTGGGTTTTTTAAAAAAAACATACAGCCTAGTTGACTTGAAAGTTGTCATAAAAGGACCCAGTATGTCCTGCCTAGGTTCCCAAGGAACTCCATTGTGATTTTACTGATTCTGCAACAAACCAGGACAGAGATGGAGCCATTTCAGAGGGACATGACTGCTGATGGTTCATAGCTGAATGTGTGAACTGACTGCATTTTAAAATGGCATTGGGATAACTTAAAATTGTCCTATCTGTGGCATTCAATCTATGATAACTCATAGACTTTGACAGAACTGTCCAGGAGGGCAAGGCTGGGTGGGAAATGCATAAATTCCAGCTGTACAGAAGTGAGGAACCTGTATCATAAGTAAGCCCACAGATGAATGTAGAAATATTGATGGTTCAAAATTATTTGTCACCCGTACGATACAGCTGAATTTGTTGAAGAATTTCAATACTTCAGTGAAAAAAACACAAGATTTATCTTATAGAAACTGGCTTCTTTGTAAAGTTTTTCAAACATTGTATAGTGAAATAAAAGCCATCCTGTAACAAAATTTATTCAAAATTGTCATTCAAATGTACACTGCAGTATAAGGGGGAATTGCAATAATGGGGTGATGGATTGGAGCTGCACACAAGAGGTAGGCCTGGTCAACAGTGGTAGTGAGTAAAGCCAGAGTCAGCATGCCCTCTTGCACCATCAAGACACACTTGAATACACAGGAACCCACACAGCCTCCTCACAATTCATTCTTTCAAACTTACAAGATATGGACTGACTGGCACACATGAATTCACTCTCCTTACCCCTCTCAGCATGAAAAGGTGAAAACAGTTAAGCCTTCTATAGCATATAATGCTCTCCTTCTACCATTAACCCTGAGAAAGGGTTTTCCCAGTGCCAGTCATCTGGATGGTCAGCAGGAAGTTCAGTCTGCCAATGTAAACATGACAGAAGGTGTGCTGGGTAAGTCATCAAGTCATCCCCAGGCACTTTCCTACCCATCCCAGGCCAGCAAATCCCTGTATGTCAGGTTGGCCAGATCTAATGGTCATGAGGAAGGCTACTGAAGAGAAGTTAATTCTCTCCCATGTGGCTTTCTTCCTCTGTGCTACCTACCAAGCAGCTGGACTGGGTGGGTTGGCTGGAGCAAGATGGAGATTAGACGGAAGACACTCTAGGATGTGCTCCGCATGTTCATGCTCATCACAAATCTTCCTCAGGACATTGAGATGAGGGAAATTCAAGGAGCTTCAACATGTAATGATGTGCAACAGTTCATAGCCAAGGCCTGTAGTGGACTACAGATACCCAACAGTTCAGTACATTTATTCATGTTTCTCTTTCCATTGATTTAGGTGGATGGAGGTGATCCGAAGTGCCACTAGCCCAGCCTCACGAATCTGTGTTTTAAGTCACGAAGAGTCCCATGTTTATTGATGACTGTACTCCAAATTTTCATTCCAGCAGTTGCTGTTTTTCTAGAGAACATTTGAATTTATTTTCTCCTATTAAATTTTAGTAAAACATAATTGTTTTTTAAATTGTTCTTTAGATATTGCCTCAGCAAGATTGTTTACTATTATTGGCCACGTGACGGTTTCATGTCTTGTAATTGTCCTTCAGTGTGGGTTTTTTTAAAAGCTTGGGCCAGTATTAACATATTGTCCTTGGAGTGCCAAATGCCAAAAGACATTCCCTTGCCTCAAAAGATTTGCACCGGATATTAAGTACAATTTTTGTAGTAATTTCATATTTGGTATTTCCCACGAGAGCAGAATGCCTTCTCTTTAAGTAACAAACCCTCAGAGATTAGTGGGAAGACTGCCGATTTTTTTTAAAAATGTACCCTCTCTGTAATGCACTAACAGCATTCAAGATAAACATGCATGAAAAGCAGTCTCAAATCAAAGAGGTTATCTTTCATACCTTATTCTCAGTGTTTCTACACATTCTATTTCTAAAAATTAAAAATGTAAACTTAATGTGTAGCTTGCTCATTTCATCTCACTGCTGAAATCCAGGTGGCATTTTCTACCCTTCATCAGTGAAAAATTATGTTCTAAGACATACAAACTTCCAGTGTGAACAGTTTATACAATTACTCTGTGCCGTGTTTTTGAGTACTGAAGTTGTCTTGTGGAAGTTGAGAAAGAGGATTTGAAAGGCTGAGGTCTAACAAAAGGTCAGTATATTTGTGTAGGACAAGCATTGTGGTGCTAATTTGTGGTTTCAGTAAATTACAGTTTCACTAAGAACAGATACAAACATTCTTACATGTGTTTTGAGGAAAATTCAATTTTGCCTCCTTATACACTTTTATACAATGTGTTTTTTTTCACCCCTGATAATAGTGGTTCTATAATACAGTTCACAACTTGTATGTTTGAGTCTGGAAGCAATGTAACACAGCCTTAAGACATTTAGCCTTGCCACATTGGGTGCAAGTTAAGCCCAAGCAGAAGACTCAACACTGTAAAAATTGAGTGAGCGGAATGAGAATCTTTTTGGTAGTTGAAATATATTTCTTGTGGATTTATTATATACAGTATGAGTTCAACCACATTTTCCATATTAATCATTTAGGAAAAATGTAAGAAAGCTTGATATTAAACATTATGTAAAGAGAATAAGGCTTCTAATTCACTATCTCCCTCTTGCTCTGGTAGCTGAGTTGTCGATCATAGAGGATTTGCCCTTTCTAGAATGTGTACAAATATTTCAAAATTTGTTTATTAAAAAAGGGAATAAAATACCTCAATTTCTTTAAACACCTTATAGTTTTAAGATAATAAAACATTTCAGTTGTTTGTCTTTTTCCTATTCCAAAAACTTTATTTTATTTTTAATAACAAAACATTCTGGCTTCAGGATTTTACATCAGCCTACACAAAATGGGCAAAATGATGGTGCAAAGCAGCAACAAATGTTAGTTTTGCTGATTACTGCTTGGAAAAGTGCCTGTGGCTGCAGGGCTGTGCATGCTGGCTTAGCATAAGATCAGTTGGCTGCATTTTACATAAACATCTATAGCAGCAGTCATCTAAGGATCCCTGCTGCAGTACTGGTGCCTCCAGTGTGGGTAGCAACAGGTGCAAAACTAGCCATACAAGAATGTTTTTTGTTGCAAGGTTGTTACTGAAAGTGGGATGCTTAAAAAACAACCACTTTTTCCTGCCATGTGCATCTTCCTTCTTCATCGAGGCCTTCACTGCAGAGAGTAAAGTGGTTCCATTCCATCACAGGCCTTGAGTTAATGCTCCCACTGGTGCCCTATGCAGGCTGGGGTGGCGCTCCATTGGGAAGCTGGGAGGAGGCTAGTGGGCCCTCAGTGCTGTGGATAAGCAATACTGACACCTGCCACTATTTTGAGAGTTGTCTTTAAGGGAAAGAAGACTACGAGTGATGCTATCATTGCTACGGGCTGCTGACGCTATTGATCCATGGGTAGAAGGGCATGGGGTCTTTTATGCCATGGCATGAAACTTCATATTCATGCTTAATGTATTTTTAACTCTGCAATGCAAATCACACTATTACAATAGCCACATGCAAAACAAAACTCTCATGATCTTCACAAAAATGACTATCAGTAGAGGTGACATGGCACCAGGATGCCCAGAACTACTGGCAATTACTTTATCAACCACATCTATGCATGCTAAATTATCTGAGTTGCACGCCAAGATACTGTAACTTGAAGCAAGGCCTTCTGCAGAAGCATGCAGCACTTGTAATTGCTTGTAGAGCAGTAGAAGTTCATGGTCTCTTGAGTTCCCTGAGAAGTTTATTCACTTGTACAGTAGTTGAAAAATTTCCAGATATCCCTCTGAATTTTGGGGACATATTATCCTAGCAAAAGGCACACATGGTGGCATTCCCTGTGCTGTGCTACCATGAACCAGCTGGCTGCCCTCAACTCAGCATCTTTTCCTTGACACTACACACAAATGTTTTCCATTTGAAGGTACTACTGTCTAAAGTTATTTCAGCTCAATCCTCATTAGGACACAGCCATTTCCGCTTACCCTGAGCATTGCTTTGGCAAGTAGGTGGTTTTAATACCTAGAAAAGAACTCAGAATTCCAAGGGTGCATGCCTCTGTGCTGAATGATGGAAATAACCCAGTAACCATGGGCCAGTCATTCACAGCCCAACCTTCCCAATAGTGTTATTGTAAGGTAAGGTCAAAGGAGCACCGTATAAAGCTTTTGGAGCTCAATAGAGGCTCTAAAGTGAGTGAGTGAGTGAGTGAGTGAGTGAATGAATGAATGAATGAATGAATGAATGAATGAATGAATGAATGAATGAATGAACAGCATCAGAATTTTGGTATAACAATATTTAATGCATAGCCCAGAGATCTGACACAATTTAAAAAAAAACATTACATTGACTATGTATGAACTCTCACCATCTTGTGTCAGGTCTACTAACTGCCACCTCTGGACTAAGAAAACGAAACATAACCACTATCATATGGCAAATAATGAATGTGCTGGATCTGAGTATTAAGAGTACCATTACTATATTGCTTCCAAATGGTTACATTTACAATCTGTTTTTCTATATTTCCCATAAATATGCTCACTGAACACATATCAAATCTGTTGTATTTCTTTATTTCTGTGAGAGGTAATGTACAAGGAATTGAGAAAATCTTGATGGGTAACATAAGCAAATTTTATACAGGTTTATAAATAGCAATATTACAGAAGAAAACAAACAGATCTTGACAACAGGAAATGATATTTCACAAAAATGTGGTCTCCATATACAGAAACAAAATTTACCAGACACTTGGGGAGAAAAACAGATTAGTTATCACTAGAATGATAGTCCTAATAAAGGTATTACCCAACTGTTGTTTTACTCACAGGCCACATGGCTCCTGTTTTTGTGGTCTATTTGCAAGAATAGTGTGCTTGTGCATTTTGTAAAGGCAGCTGGCTGTTTAGTGATGGAAGCAGAGTGCTGGATTAAGTGGACCTGAAGTCTCATCCAGCAGAGATTCTTTTTACAGCTAATTAGCCTTCCTTATCTGTAAAAAGAATCCAAATTAGGAAGGCACACCCCAATTAGACTTCACAAATGCTTCTAAAACGGGCTTGTCCAATATACACAGCATGTACTAATATAAAATGACTGGATGAATGACAGGTTGATATGTTAAGGTCCACTTTCTCCATAAGAACAGATATAAAAATAACCTTATATTCAAAGACCTTTACTATCTGTTATTTTACTTTTACGTTAGCCGTCATTATAACAGGTTCCAAATGGATAGGTATCTTGGCTTAATGAAGGAAAAACAGTTCAGTGGCACCTTCAGTAGATGTGTATCTTTTCACAGCCTGAATCCATGGGTGATGTGAGTTTACCCTAAGACTCTTAAGCTGGGAAATTTTCCAGAAATCTTCCTGGAAAGCTTTTTGATGCCCTTAACTGACTATAGACGGCTTCAGCATGTGTAACTAAATGCACCCATTTCAGTCATCCAGTATTTTTCTAATACATGGATCTCTGAACAGCTGTATTTAGGAGAGTTTCACTAAAACACAGCTGAGCTGAAATGTTATATTCAAAGAAATAATTCTAAACTTTATTTAACCCACTTAAAAGAGTTCTCCGGGGGAAGGGACTTAATAGTAGAAGCTTTCCTACATTATGAGTACAAAAGAAAAAAAAAAACTAAACTGAGCCCAAAGGTCACAAAGCAAAAGAGGCAGATACAAACCACTGTAACATCAACCTTCCTCCTACTGAGCACTCACCACCGCTCAGCCTTCATCCCACTGAGGTGTGCTCAACTATACCTCTTGTATCTTCCCTCTGGCAGGATAGTCATGCCCTTTTGAGGATAATAGAGGTTGTAACACAGAATACCTAGTGTGAGGTTAGGGAAAGCTGTAATCAGCTGTACTACTACTACTTCACACCTACAGCCGCCTTTGGACTCACTTGTCACTAATCATTTTTTCCCCCATGGACTACTAACACTTTAGTTATCTGACCATGTGGCCCTAGATTTGGGAAAACCTTTGTACCAATGTATCTGTTGTGTTTAACATGCCTCAGGACACGGCTGCTTTTAACATTTTATTGGCATTTTCAACAGCAGATCTCTTAAGGAAAACGTTAAGGGCCGGGTTTAGCCTATACACAGCAAAGTAGGGTTGTATACAGTAGTGGTCCCCAACCTTGGGCCTCCAGATGTTCTGGGACTTCCAGAAATCCTGGCCAGGAGAAGTGGTAGTGAAGGCGTTTGGGAGTTGTAGTCCAAGAACATCTGGAGACCCAAGGTTGGGGACCACTGGTATACAGGGCAAGATGTGGGCAACAGGTGTCGGAAATTCATGCAATCACCAACTGTGGTTCCTCTTCAGAATGGGTGGGCTGAAGTGGAAATCTGGTTAAGACTTCACCTCTAGGTGAACAAGCCACTAAGTATCTCCTATACAGAGAGAGGGAGGGTATGTGTGTGTGCACAGTTCCAATGTAGGATATTACTGGTGGCACAAACCTTTGAACTGGTCCTAAAACCATCAGAAAACATCAGTGCTCCCAAGGCACCAAAAATACAAAATGCTATACAAAGGGCAAGAACAAAACAAGAACCAAGTGCAACTCTCAAGACAACCACCTACTGGGCAATCAAGAAGCCTATGGCACCTAACGACACAGTGAGAAAACAGAAGTGATTTTCATTATTCCACTAGAAGTTCTGCGTACCCACAACCCAGCCATCAACCTTCTAGTTCAAATTACAAGGGTATTAACTGCGGAAAAGGCAAATGTCAACCTAGTTATCCACACAAATAGTTTTTAAATCTTGGATTATTTTTACTGCTTACTTAGCACTTTCATTATGCTAACTCTCAAAACAGTGGGAAGATTCACTAATTTATCTGAAAAAGTTTGGCGCTTCCCAGCAAGAGTATCTTGAACAGAATCCTCAGCCAAGCCAACAGACCAAAAGCTGCATTATACCACACTCAGAACAACTAAAAATATTTTTTTCAGTGTTGCACTTTCCCAAAGACTGTTCTAAAATATTTGAAGGATCAGGAATGGTAATTATAAATGCTAAAACAAAAATATATGTCAATTAAGAAAACAACAATTTGGTATTTTTGACCAAACGCAAATTTTACATTTTGAAAAACAGATGTATATTCCCTATAACAAACACTGGACAAAATCCTGTTGCTTAATATATTAAATCACTCTAGAGTAAGCTCACTGAATCAATAGGGATCTGGTGAAGTTTCACTGGTTCAAAGGGGAACACTCTTAACTGCAGCTTGCTTTAGCATAGCAAGTGGGAGTTCACATACTGTATGGCAGGCACCCTTGAATCAATGGAATTTACAAAGAAGTTGACTCACTAAATCTCCACTGATTCAATGGGCCTATTCTAATTCGCTATACTAAGCAACAGGATTTTGGCCAATGAATTAAGTGTACTGCAATCCTATGCATCTTTACTTGAGGGGAAGTGAACTGAATTTAGTGTGAGAACAGATTCAACATGCACCAGCACAGGCAATGAATTAACTGAACAGTCAGATTTTATTCATCCTTCAGCTAAGCAATACATGTTAAAGCTTGTCTTCTTGTACAGAAATGGCTTTTCTCAAATTATATAAATAGCAGGGACATTTCAAATTTTGTTTTAGGTCAAAGACTGCTCTTCAAGACTAGCAGCCAAACCCTCTGAACTGGCACTCTTTTATCAAATCTCAGTCTGATGCACTCAGCAATATTTGGCAATCTTACAGCAATAAATTGTTTTTGAATCTGTCAAGTCTTTGCCTCTGTGCAGACATAACTAAAAACAGGGGTAGGGATTTGGAGTTTTGTTACATGGCAAGCAGTCCTATACAAACACCCAGCCAGCCAGTGAAGTGAAAAACATTTCCTCCCTACCTTGTACATATCCATGTGCTTCAAAGTCTGAACTGACTTTGAGACTCCCCACCCCACCCCATCCCCAGGAATCTATAGAGTTATCTACTTAAAACATGGTGGTGATATATTTTTAAAAGCTTTGAAAAGTTTTCTGGTCTTTTTCAAAACTGATCTCAGAATGCTTTAAGATTCACACAAGGCCTATCTTCTTAACATGACACCTTGATCCAAGAAGCAGCTTTGTGAATGACGCCAAGTGGCTTGTAAGCACTATGAACATTCATCTTCCATTCAAATGATTACCGTTAATCTTACTCTAAGGGAGCAGAATTATAGTATAAAAACAAGGTGAATAGATTTCTCCATCTGCCTCACTACACAATTTTGTGCATCTCCATGTTTGTACAGAAAGACTAACAGAATATTTTCAATTTAGTTTTGAAAAGGGATATTTTGGCATAAAAGATTATGTTCTCCCTAAATTAAACTTTTCATTTTTAGGTTTCTTGAAAACTAAAATATTTTCCATTCATGTAAATCAATGCAAAGTGTCAGAAGCATTAACTAAGACATAGTGAGTGATACATGCTTGTTCTTTTATTAAAGAAAAGGACAAGCACACATTTCAATAACGATTGAGTATTTTACATTTTAACTATATATTTTCAATTGTATACCACTCACTTTCAAGCATCTCTTAAAGAAAAATCCAAATGAGATACCTATCAGATATTTGAACACTATACTAGTTCCTTCCCATTACAGGATAGACAGAGTTCAGATGATGAACCACAAAAGATCCAAATATACAGATGTTTAACTAAAACTGCAGCAGTGATTGCTCTGTTAAATGAAGAAGAAACCTCATGAATTTTCTCCCCCAAAATGGATCTTGGATACCAAGTTAAAACCATTTTTCTCAATGATTGTGATTAAAGATTTTCATATACATAATAGTTTGGGTTTCTACTGTTTCTAAGACCAACATAATACAATATTGCCATTATTCAGCCAAGATATCTAGGAGGTATTTCAAAAGAAAATTTTCTTTAAACTAGTCATACGGGATTTTCAGATCTTCCAAAGTAGCTTCAAATAAAACTATGAAAAGTGAATCCAGACTTCAGATTGGCACAATTTTAAACAGATATAAAACTGTCAAGAACAAAAAATAGAGAACTTTAAAAGAAATGGATGCAGTAAATTAAAATAACCAAAGTCGTACCATGGTAAAAGGCTCAACTGTAGATTAATAAAACAAACACTACTGTTCAACAGTTTCTGCATTTGAAGTACAAACAAGATTTTATAGCACGGCTTTAATTATTTTTGACCTGTAAATATAAGGTCAAGTCAAACGTGTTGCCACATAATTCAATTTTTCTCCAATATCAAAGGCAAGCTAATAAACAGTTCTGACCTGACTAAAATATTTACCTCACTAGTATCATCCACAGAAGCACTTGGCAATTTGTACAGAGGGTCTCCATATGCACGTTGAGCAGATTTCAGTAAAAAAAGTGACTATATACAAATCTGTACACATAGCCAATTGTACATTTACTGATTCACAGATTCATTAACTTAAAGCAGTTGCCTTCATTTTTTTTCAGACCCAAGATCTATCTTGAACCCCAGTCTGAAATATGGAAACCACTCAGTTCACCCTAAACCATTTATCCTCGTATCTTTCTCTTTTCCTCAAAAGGAAACTGTAAAACGAAAAAGTAAAACTATTGCATCCACTTTTGATTGGAATGCAATCCTCCTCTACATCTGGGCCCGTTAGCTGAAGGCCAATGACTTAAAGCAAGATACCTGAGATTTCACAATAGCTTTAGTTTCCTAACTGCAATCCTAAATATACATCTCAGAAATTTAAAAAGATACCTCCTTTGAATATGTGCATTATTATTATTATTATTTTAAAAAACTATACAGAGCTGGAAAACAATGTCCGTGCTGCATCTTCAGGAATGTCCATCTACTGGAAAGCACCCCATGACCAATCCACTAAGCAGGGCCTCTGAAGCAGCATACGTGAAGAAACAACATTTCAGTGGGATGATGTGTTTCCTCCTGTTACTGAATACCTGGGTACAGGGTGAGAAAAAGTAGCATCTTAAATGAAAAGAGCACTCAGAAGACCCATTCAGTAGTAAGGAACTGTTTATAACAAAATTGCTGTTGATTCGCCATTTTGTGATAAGCAAAAAGATTGGAAAAGCATTAGGGTTGGAGGCCACATCTTAGAATCTCCCAGAACCCACCCATGTAATTTTTATAAAAGCGTATTACACACTGCTTTGTTGTTACGGTTCCTGGATATGGGATATCAAGGACATACAGTATACACATGATGCATAACAGCAGCTCCTATTACAAGATAATGGCTGTACGGGACTTCCACCAAAGCTCAGTAATCAGTCGACCTTCCTGTCATTTTAACATAACAATCTTCAGTTAAACACATACCACCTTCATTTCCTAATTATCTCCCATGGCTATAATAATTTTAAATTAAATGTACTTGAAGTTTCCAGCAAAGGTCACAGATGTATAATCAGAAGGGAGGTAAGCCTAATCCTGATTTTATGTTATTCAAAAAAAGAGGGAAAATATTCTCTTTCTAGAGATTGTGGTACCCTGGCATAAAGAAGCAAGTGAGACACTGGGAGGGATTCTAACTTAATTCTATCCTGATTCAATCGGGAAGACAAACATTCCCAAATATTGAGAAAAAACTTATCATCTACTTCATGTTTCAATGTGAATATCACAAGATTTGAAACCATCAGGAGGGCCAGCCCAGGACAGCATTACAAAGTTGGACTGTGGTTTGGGAGATCCTTGTTCTAATTCCTGTTAATGCATGAAACCCACTTTGTGAATACAAACCAGCTAAGCTTGTATCTTAGGGTAACCTAGGGTTATTGGCAAGTACGTCCAAAACAAGCCAGGATTCATAAATCACTTTAAAACAAAGTTTGTATTCTTGGCTTTTTGGACACACTTAACCAAAATCTCAGAGGTAAGTATCAACATTCTTCCCATATTGGTTTATTTGCACACATAAATCAGTAGTAAATCGGCTGCTTATACCACAACAGCTCCTTTCCATTGTGGTTTATTAAACCAGATTTCTTTGTTTACTGTTACATACAAACAGTCTGATAATTTCTATCATCCTTGCCACCTGCCTTGCTTTCCTGAACAAACCTCTGGAGCTAGCAGACTTCTCTAATTTCCTAAGCAGAAAAGACACAGGGCGATGAAGTCTCAAACTGAAACAACATTCTTTCTTTTTGGAAAAAAATAGCAACAGATATGGTGAAAACAGATCATTGGCGGCAGTAAATAACACCAAAGCCCTTTGCTGGGGGGGAGGGGGCAAAATCTAGAGGTCTGCAAATTTGTCTCTGTGAGCTGCAAATCCCTAAATTCTGCCTGGGGAATTCTGGAAACTGTAGACCAAAAGCACGAAAGAGGACACCTCTAATCACTACTGTCCAATTCCACAACACATTGTAATTAAGGAAGCATTCAAAATATTGTGACTATTTCTCTGTATGTCTAAGAGCAGTATTATTGACAAATACCTCTGAAGCCTCTGCACAAGTTCTGTCACCATGGTATCTGAAATGCCTGGACATGCCTCTTCAGCTAAATAAATGGCTTCTCTCAGCTCTTCTATGGATCCCATGTTTCCTCCACAAGCTTGATTTCTTTCTTTCAGCTAAAAATCAGAAGGCAATTAAGGATATAACAACCTTGTTTTATTATACTGTTTTTATTCTATTTTTATTGTTAGCTGCCCAGAGTAGACTTGTGTCTAGATGGGCGGGGTATAAATGTAATAAATAAATAAATAACCAACCAGCCATCCTGAGGTATAGTATTTATGCAATATAAGTGTTCATACGTGTGAAAAAGCAGATCTAGCACTGTACGTCCAAGTTCACAGATGATTCGGAAATGCAGGGAGTACATTTAAAACATTTAACATTCTCTAAATATACCCCTTGTTATTGAGCAAATCTAACTAAGAAAAATGTCAATCTGGTAGAACTTTAGGCAGGTCGAGGGCTCCCATTTCCCGACTGTTTATAGAACAGCCTGATTTAGCAACCGTTAACTCCAGAGGAGCATGCACCCTTTACATGTAACAGGGACAACTTCCTTTACTTTCAGCGCAGCAGCCTCTCCCATCCTGCACTACAAATCCATTCTGAAAGCACAGGGAAGTTGCGGAAGTTGTCAGTGTGCCAAGGAAAAAGTGAAGCCAGTCCACTGCACAAATATATTTTATCGGATTGAAATGAACCATATTTAGTGAGCCACCAGACATGAACAACAAAGTTCATGCTAACAGAAACATCATTAAACCTGAAGTGAATTTATTCCATTGTGAACAAAGAAATGAGGGCCGTCCTGTTCCCTTTTCGTAACAGATGACTCTTTACCTACAATAGTTTCCCAGTTCCACTCCATGTCAAGGACTCAACAGAATTAATACATTTTAAAAACAGCAAAATAAAAACTATACAAACAAGTGTCCAACTAAGCATATATTTAAAAGTCTGGCTGCACAATAGGCACAATTGGCCCCATTCACACACTACCATGTTATTATTATATTATTTATTATTATTTATTTGATTTATATCCCGCCCATCTGGTCTGGTCGACCACTCTGGGCGGCTTCAAACAAAAGTATATGCAATAAAAGCAAGAGGATTTTACATACGATCTAAACACATACAATAATAAAACAAATAATGAATGAAAAAAAAAAGAATAAAGAAAAGATTAAGTATTGACAGGAGGGAAGGCCTGAATGTACATCCATGTTTTTAGTTGATTCTTAAAAGTGCTCCACTTCTTAAAAGTGTTCCTCTTCGTTATGTCCCACACCTGCTGCCACCCTGAGATGAGAAATGCAGGCTATGTGAAAGCCATTCCTGGAGTTCTGCCCCCATCCTCAGAGTAATCAAGGGAGACAGAAAAGAAGGAGCCCATTGCTACTTTTCTCTGGCTGGGTACCACCACTAGCATTACATCCTCCCCCACCAAAGCTTGGTGGTCTCATTCCTGAGAAGGAAGCCAAGGGAGGTGGATGGAACAAAAGTAGTAATCATAATACATTGATTTTCCTTGAGTGGGATGACTCACCAGTTCATTCTGACAACTATCTCCTACCATCATTCCAAAACCTTAATGGCAGAAGCTGCATACATTATTTTTTAAAACCTCAGCTCAGATTTTCTTTTAATATATAAGCATAACTCTGATGGTCTTTGTTCCTTTGCGTTTTCTCCATCATTTTCATACAATCTCAAATCCAAACACAAGAAACAGATAATCCAACAACAACATACCTCTGCAAATAAGGGAGAGATAATCGTTGATAAGCACCGAGACAAAGGCCGCCTTTGAATGGTATTTTCCTGTAAGAAAAAAAAAGGTATTCCACAAATTAGCCAAAACACTTGCCATCATTATTTGACTTTATAAATTGGACAGAGGTGTGTGGCCTCTGTCAGTATAACTTCTAACACCATGCATACAGCATCCATTGACTAATGATAAGACAAGAATAAGAAAATGCCACCATTCCAGACAGAAAATGTATTATAAACAGCTATAACGTTTATGTAACAAACTGCATTTTAGGATGCTTTACAGACTGCTTAGGTATTATTAAATACATTCAGTTATGTGTATCATACGAAAACTCAGGAAGCACTGCTTTATGAAGCAAGAAAAGTCATGAATAGCACACATGTACATATATTGGGTACAAACTAAGGGCCAGCACATACGTGTTGAAGAGGGCACAAAATTGCTGACCAAGAACTACATGTCAATCTAAGACTATGTATCATCACCACTAACCCTTGCAAAAAACGGTTATATTATATGGATGTGGGCAGAAAAAACAGCCATCAGGCAATGTCTCCCTACGCAACATCCTACCATAGAAGGCATTTCACACATACCATAAAGCCAGCTACTTAAGCACAATATGTATTTATATCACAGGACCCTCAAGGGCATGTGAACTTTGCTGATGTGTGCCTATACAGTGGGGTCTTGACTTACGAACGGCCCGAGTTACGAACATTTTGACTTACGAACCGCTCTCATAGGAAAATATTGACTTGACTTACATACTTAGATTTGAGTTAAGAACTGAAAAAAAACCACGTGGGAGGCAGGGAAAGTGCAAAATGTGAACTTTCAGTTAACTGTTGGCCAGTGAAAAGGGTGCCTGTCTGCTTCCTCACTCCTCCCCAGAAAAAACAGCCATCAGGCAATGTCTCCCTGCGCAACATCCTACCATAGAAGGCATTTCACACATACCATAAAGCCAGCTACTTAAGCACAATGGTATGTACTTATATCACAGAACCCTCAAGGACATGTGAACTTTGCTGATGTGTGCCTATAGCTACAGTTCTTTACACCACTGTCACATGGCAGATCAGAATTTTATTGAAACCTCATGGAGGACTTTTAAGGAAAGGAAACCAGGGGTGGTGGTGAAGTCACAGCAACTGAAGAGTAACAGATACACTGTTTTTTGGATGCCATTTCCCGCTTACTAACAATCTGTTCTAACAAGTAACAACTGAGTGGAATAAAAAGCCTGCCCCCATTTAAAACACGCAGGAGAGATGACTTGAGGCAAAAGCTGAGCATCCCTAGAGCTAAGCTGCTACAGCTCTTTAGACCACCGCCACATGCCAGATCAGAATTTTCTTGAAACCTCATGGAGGACTTTTAAGGAAAGGAAACCAGGAGGTGGTGAAGTCACAGCAACTGAAGATTAACAGATACACTGTTTTTTGAATGCCATTTCCCGCTTAGTAACAATCTGTTCTAACAAGTAACAACTGAGTGGAATAAAAAGCCTGCCCCCATTTAAAACACGCAGGAGAGATGACTTGAGGCAAAAGCTGAGCATCCCTAGAGCTAAGCTACAGGTGCAACACTACGTGATCACGCATCCCCTTTTGGCAACCCCTTCTCATTTGCCAGGGGCTCCTAGGCCTCAGCTTATTTCTCCTCCCCTCAGCCCACCTTAAGGCTCCTAAAGGAATTAAGGAATTTCTAACAAAGGATATCCTTTGTTAGAAATTCCTTAATTCCTTTAGGAGCCCTAAAATATCCTTTGGCTGGAATTCAATAGCTTCCCCGATCAAACATGCAGTGGTTAAAACACAGAACAGTCAAATTTGTTTTCAAGGCTTGAACAAAATGAAAACAGTGTTAGGCTGGTTGACTGTCAAACATTCAGATTCTGTTACTCTCTTCTAACCCCTTCCTGAACTGTTCTAACTGCTTTCTTCACCTCCACAGCAAACCGCTCGCCTGCCATTCTCCGCCTCTCCATGACTGTCACCCCCTCTCTCCTTTCTGCAAGAGCCACCGCACTCTTTAACTCCCCTCCACAGAATCCCAGGGGCTGTGAGAAGGTTAGCCTAAGAGAGGGTGGCCACCCATGCTATCCATCACACAGCTGTGTTACACAACAGTCTAGTTGTGTTTGATGCTGCAATGTCACCACCCATTTCAAAGTATTTTTGCAGACCTGGTAAGTGGCACATTATTCGAATTCGAAAGTTTTCAGCATGTATAGCGTTTCTGCACAACTCAGGACATAGTTTATCTTTCGACATGGGCAAAAACCGCAGTCCGATAGTTCAACATGGTTCGGCTGCACAGCTGTTCTGCAGGTGCCCCGGCTTCCCTTGCCCCGCCTCCTCTGGCAGGCGCCCACTCAGAGGCAGCAGGGTGGCTTCCCAGACCTGCCTCCTCTGGGCGCTGCCTCAGTGGCAACCAGGCAAGGGAATCTGGGGCACCCGAAGAACAGCTGTGCAGCCGAACCGTCAAACCACACCAAAACGCAGTTCGTGTCTACCTTTATTCATTTTACATAATCAACGTTACCAAAACAAACAAAAACCCTGCAATACCATTGAAAAGATGGCAGTTTTCCTGTAATATCTGTAACATAAAGAATACCTTGTTTCTCTCCCACTCGTGCAGCTGGGTAGCTCCATTCTCTAGATTCTTAGGATCTTTTTCTCGGATCGTAAATATCCAGTCACCTGAATCACTGCCACCTGAGGCTTGGCCATCGGTTTCTCTTTAACAAAAATAAAATTCTTAATCATTACAAAAACAGTCCTGTTAATTTAATAACTGCTGAAATTGCAGCCCTGGAAAACTCAGCTGTTAATAGTTTAGAGGAAGAGTATTGCATTAAAACCCTAAATCACATTAAAAATAAAAGCTAGACTAAAATGGGCCTCCAATAATATGGGTTAGGACTAGTTTATTAATAATAGATTACAGATCATTTCTCCCTTTATATATCTGTATGGTGAACTAAAAGAAACACTCAATCCAAAGCAAACTATTAAGAGCAAACCAAACCCTTAAAAAAGTAAGGGAGAGGAGCCTCTGTGTGTATGTCTGTACACACACTGCCGTGCATACCATTTGTCTCACTCCATCAATTTGCCACCATCCAGCTGTGACAGAATCATCCTTACAGACCATTATATCATTAAATGAAAACACATTATAAAACACTAGGGATAAATTTTAAAGGTAATAAACAATAAATATACATATAAAGGATCAAACATTCATAGGTAGTCTAATGAAAATGGCCATATTCAAGAACTTCGCCACTTGTTCAATGACTGAAATGTTGGATCTCGGGAGCAAAATTATGCTAAGAGATGCAAAAGAGCAGCTAGGGAGAGACTGGATAATACATTCACTTGTAACAGTACTTCATATGCACATCTCTCGTAAGAGCACAGCAAAATACCCTCCATGGCTTCATTCCCTAGCTCCTCCTAAAAGCCAAAAAACCAAACAGGGTTGGGGAATGGGCTAATTAAGCATTTTTAGGATGAACTGTGAACAAAAATGTTGCCAATGGATAGATAAATAGCCCATAAGGACTAAGTAAATGAGACTTAGGAAAACCACACAAAAGGATCATGTTTAGGGCCATCCAAAAGTAACTCCTTTGTGCAGTTTTCTATAGCTTTTGTTATTCCCATTTAAAAAAAACAGTAAGAGAAATTAGCGACAGTGGAGATAGGTATATTGAAAAGTAGTCAGCTGTGTAGCAGCTGCTCATCTATCTTACTGAACAACATTCAACAGTTTGTGGGTTTCTGACTTACTGAAAAGGGATTGTATAGACCCCACCCCAAGCTGAGAGAAACTTATCTTCCTTCTTCTGTCCTAAATTATGGCATTTCGACAGGAGAGGAGGGCACATTTCTTGCACCTCATATTTCTCACGTGACAGCTCACACCCACTGCTTTCTCCACAGGACATGCAACTTAAAGGAAACATTGTCACAAAGGGATCTCATACTGCACTACATTTTCACAATGTAACCTGAATGTATCTTAAGAACAGGCCTTTAAACGGGCTGGGTATCTGACTCACTTTGTCTGATATATTTCCTACCTCCCCAACAAAAACAAAAGACAGTGTCATTCCCCCTCACGCTTACCCGTCTGAATCTTCAGAGCTGGAATTGTCATGATTCTGCTCAGCCTTCCACCTTTTATGCCTGTCAATGAGATCTGTCAAGTAAGAGGTTTTCTTTGCATTTCGTACTATAAATTTGTGCTTCAGGAGTTCTTTTGCAGTTGGTCTCTTAAAAATAAAAATAAGTTTCTTTACTTAATTTATTTCAGCTATCAAGGGAATATAGATATACATTTATCGAAGAGAATAATCAGGCATGGCTATTTTTTTAAAAAAAGATGTTTACCTCACACCACTGACAGCTTATTCCTTCTATTTCTACCCGCTTCCTCACAGCAGGCAGTTCTCTCTATCATGGGTTAACAGGATGGACCAAAGTAGCTTTTCAACTGCAGACCTATGCATATTTCATCGATACATAATATGCACAAAGAGGAAGACACATATAGGAGAATGCTCCCCTCAATTTTTCGCTGCTAGCTAAAGAGTTTCTCTATTCTGTCCTTCCAGAAATCATTTTTAGCTCCTTTGAGGTTCATTTTGTTTCTTTATTGTATCCTGTAGTGAGACTGGCATGCATTTATAACCTTCCAAACTTAACTTTGGAAATGAACTTCCTGGAAGAATTTTCTACCTGATTATCTAGCTTTTTGGATACAAAGTTGCCTTCTATAATTGCTAGGGACTTCTACATCCCTCAAGAATCTAAACTGTGGAAGGACCTTTCTGTATTATATACGGGTAATCTGACTGTATTGTCATCTCCCCCCACTCATGTTGGGGGTAGATCCTTGAATTATATTTATAAGGCGTTAGAATTTTGTCCCACTACTGTTTTAGATAGTGGCCTTTCCTGATCATTTTTAATTCACGGTTATTGTACATTTCCTCCTCCTCTGCCTGTTGAAATGGTTATTATGAGAAAATTGTCCAAAGTTTACATTATCCCTGAATCAGGAGACCTTACAGCCATTTTCAGACTGGTCAGGGCCACAGTGTTTGAAGGTTAATGATAGTTTACCAGTTAGTTCAGTGGATGAATTGGCTGCTGCATTTCAAATGACAACTAGTTCTGCTCTGGAGCAACTTGTTTGTTGGGAAAAAGCTGTTCGCCCTTGGCTGACTCAGGAGCTTAAAGATGACTGGTCTCGTCTTCGCTGTTTAGAGTGACAAAGGAAGGGTGCTCCTTCAGAGGACTCTCATCACATCTTAAAATCTGCACTGGGAAGGTATTTTTGAAATTCAGCTAAGCAGTCTACTATTTCGGTACAGCTGCACAACCCAAGGCAGTTGTTTCTATACTTTTAAGAGCTTGCTGGCCCCAGGGCTATAGGGCATAACTTTAAGTGCTTCTTTTTCTCCCTCGGTTGATACCCTAACATTTTTCAGACATGAGTCTTCCTTGTTCCTTTCCTTCACGATCCCCAGAGGACCAGTTTGAGTTTTCCTGGATGTCAGAAGAACAAGTTCCTGCAATTCCGTCTGCCTCACCTCTAACTAATGCTCCTAGTGATCCTTGTCCTTCTTTTCTTTATTCTCCTATAGGTTCTTCTCTTTTCGCTTTTCTGACCAGTCTGGTGCAATGTTCACTTACGACTGGTGCATCCACAAGTTTCTAAAAGCATGCTTTTGTTTGTCCTTTCCTGGAAAAAAAGCTTCCCTTGATCCTTCAGTTTGTGCTAATTATCAATCTGTATCTCTTCTTCCTTTTGTGTCTAAAATTCTAGAGAGAGCAGCCCTTTCTCAACTGGACTCTTATCTAGGTCATCAAAATGCCACTGATCTGTCTCAATCTCAATTTCGGGCAGGGCATTCAAACAACACAACACTCTCTTAAGTGTTGAATGACATCCTAGTGGCCAAGACGTTCCTCAGTGTTGGTGATGCTTGACTTGTCAGCAGCATTTGGTACACTTGACCACCTGATTCTCCTGGCAAGACTGGGCTCTTTAGGTTTCTCTAGATATGCTAGTTCTTGGTTTTCTTATTTGATAAATGGTTCAGTTTTGGTTTATACGGGTACTAAAACCTCCCACTCCTTCCCCCTTATTAATGGTGTTCCACAGGGCTTGGTTCTTTTTTCTCTATATACGCTTCCCTTGGGTTTCTTAATTTCTAGTTTGGGTTTTCACTATCACATTTATGCTGATGATACTAAAGTGTACCACTCTTATCCTGAGTTTAGTGATGAGGTCTGGACTTTCTTGACAAGCTGCCTATTGGACTTCTCGTCACGGATGTCCTCTCATCATCTGAAACTGAGCATTGACTGTCCCTCCTCTCTCCCTCCAAGATTGTTGGGTGATCCTTGTCTTACAGGCGATAGAGCTTGGTGTTCTAGTGAATGACTGGCTGTTGCTCCATTCATGCATGAGTGTCAGAGCCAAGGTATGCAATTTCCATCTTGCTACCGTGTCCCAAAAATAAGACAGGGTCTTATATTAATTTTTGTTTCAAAAACGCTTTAGGAGTCATTTTCAGGAGATATTTTAATTTTTTCATGTACAACAATCTACATGTATTCAAATACAGTCATGTCATCTTCTTCTGGTTGATGCACAATAATGGAGGGCAGGGTTTCACTTAACTGGGGCTTATTTTTGGGGTAGGGCTTATATTATAAGCATCCTGAAAAATCATACTAGGGTTTATTTTTCAGGTTAGGTCTTATTTTGGGGGAAACAGAGTAATATCCACCAAATACGAATATCCCGCCACAGTTGGAAATAATGAGGGTCTGGCCCCATGGGGCCGGACTGTCCACTCACCATTCCACTGCGGATGTGCACTCGATGGAGCATTCCTATCACACTGTTTCTGCAATGGATTATCCACTCCTGGCAGGAGGCGGGATGACAAGCCTCTCTGACAGGTCACAGAGTGGCTAATCCATTGCGGACAACGGTGTGATAGGAAGCCTCCATTGAGTGCACATCTCCACAGCAGAATGGTGAGTGGACAGTCTGGCCCCATGGGCCAGACCCTCATTATTTCCACCCACGGGAAATAATATACGAATACCCCCATCTCTAGTAATGATCATAAAAGTGTCGGAAAAGCTGGAAAACCTTTCTTTTTTAAAAAAAAAATGCTGGTAGTGTTTTTTGTTGTTTTTTCTTTTCAATTTTAGCACAAAATATGCTAAAATTTGTTTTAAACCAAACAAAAGCAGCAATGGTCCTTTTCACACAAAATAAATTCTTCACTCCATTAGGAGGTGATATCTTTCACAAACACCTGATGAAGGGACAAAGTTCCTCAAACTTGTGTATATTTGGTGTGTCTTTTAAACTAAGACATGACAGTAGCTAAGGTAGGTATTTCCAGGATAAAGATCCCTATAAATAATCACAGTTTGAAAATAAGATTTTTTGCTATTGTCACTCTGTAGTGGTATGAATGATATATGTAATATGCAGACCATTCAAATGTGCATGGGGCACATTTTAAAAGAATTTAATTTAATTTAAAGAAACCGACTCAAAACAATCAAGGTAAGGGAGGGACAGAGAGGACCAAACAAAACAACTTACAAAGCTTGGGTCCTTGTTCAAACAGGCCTCAACAAACTCCTTTAGAGGCTTGCTGTAGTTTCCTTCTAACGTTGGTGGATTGTTCTTTGGGATCAGGAATAAAACCTTCATGGGATGCAGTTCAGAATGAGGCGGCTCACCTTTTGCAAGTTCTATGGCTGTTATGCCCAGTGACCAGATATCGGCCTGCAAAGTGCAAGAAATTATGGTAAGACATACCTAGAAGACAGGTGCAAGATTTCCTGCATCTTATCTGACTGCACGTGCTTTTCTCAGCACTAAGAGAGGCTGACTAACAGCAACATAGGCACATTGGGCACATACCTTTCAGACAACTTGCATGTTTTACCTTCCCTTTCCTCCTGAAAATTTAGTGGGCCTTCCCCTCCCTCCCCTAGCTAAGACAAGCAGGTGACTTGCCATTGCAGCTCCTCAGAAGCTACTGTTTTTCCCCTTCAAATGTGGAACTAGACATATATACGAGTTCCTGACAAAGCCTTTATATAACACTGTTTCAGGGTCACAATTACATTCCCAGGATTTTCTGTGACTCTGCATAGAGCTCCAAATGACACAGAACATGGTTCTAAACAGTACACACACAGAAGAATGCACCCGTTTGTTACAGCAGTGTGTGTTCAGCATGCAAATTATAATTATATCTCATTGTGCGTCTTGTCCCCCTTGCCTCCAGAAAAAAAATTTTTTTGCTGACTCCAGACAGCCCCAGTAAACTGTTCAAACCCATCTACACGTATTTCAAGATGACTAAAAAGGTTTTCACATACAAACACACTCAGAAAGAAACAAATGACAATAAATTGGGCTCGAGGAGTTGACCTGAAAATTTTAAGCCACGTAACAAAAAAACTCACCTTCGAATCATAGGCTGACTGCTTTATAACTTCTGGTGCCATCCAAAATGGTGTACCCACAAAGGTGTTTCTTTTTATCTGTGTATCAGTCAACTGCCCAGCGACACCAAAGTCTGCAAGTTTGACTTCGCCTTGTTCGGACAGTAGCACATTAGCAGCTAAAAAAAAATATTTTAGAAAGAAAATTTGCAGTTTCAACATTTAAGCATGTCATATTTTAAAATGTTAACGAAGACCCTACTATTTTACCTTTAATATCTCTATGAATTTTCTTTTCTGAATGCAAGTAATCAAGTCCTTTCAGGATCTCTCTTAATATTGTAGCAATCTGGGTTTCATCAAGAGAACCTGGTTCCAACTAGAAGAAACACAACTGATTATTTTCAGAATAAAATTCCCTGAAAACACAGAAGAAGAAAAAAGAACTGAAGTTCAGTATTTTATGCCTTAATTTTTATTGTAATTTATTGTGTTTCTAAACTTATCCAGGGATTTAAGTGCTTCAGAATGGTTATTTATTCAGTGTGTTAAACTGTTGGACTAAGGAAGGAGAAGGGAAAAGAACTAGACATGGAAATAACCACACAAAACTGCGCAAGTTACTTCTTCAGCTTGTCTGCACGGGTTTATCCCCACATGTAAGATTGTCATGAAAAACTGTCATTAGTAGTTTAATGTCACTGCTCAATTTCTGCAAGAAGAACTGTATCAGTTAGCACAGCCTATCTTGACAGGCCGCCTGCCCCAACTGTGCCTATCTCAGTCTTCAAGCACCTTCTAATTACTTTGGGGCTAGGGACAGGGTCAAAGGCAGTGATGTAGCAGCTCTTCCTTCCCCAGGAAGCCTTCCCTCCTCACATTTCCTTAGAAAGCTAAGGCGACACGTCCACCACCTGACAGCGAGGGCACCTGAGATGGAGCGGGGAAATACAGCTCCCACCATCCTCAGTCACTGGCATCTTCCAACAGAGATGACTTAAATTGTAATTCAATGTTCATGATTACAGAAGCATCCCCTTGAAACAGGGTGAGGCCCACAAGGGCTTTCCTGCCCCAGACGAAACTCCTTTGCTGACTGAACGAACCATACAGTCAGTATATGTTTCCTCCCAACATAGCTAAGCCAAGAATTTTATACCAGTTAAAGTATATTATACTGTTTTCTTACAAAGCTACTTATCATCTACATGTCTGAAGTTCTCGTTTCTGTGTGCATAATGGCCACACAAGCAAATTCAAAAGTATGAGTAGCCTTTAGTTGTACTAATAAAACCAGATTACTTACAAGATCAAGAGCAGAACCTCCACCAAGATACTCCATTATTATCCATAGCTTCGTATCCTGTTAATACAGAGAAAGTTGCAGCAAAATAAAGACAGAAACTGTAGTCATTGCTCAATATAATTCATGTTTTAAATACACAGATCAGACATGTTTCACCTTACCCACATGTGGAAAACTGCGAAGACTGAAAATGTCAACTGAATGAGAATAGCATGAAAATACAAATAATAAATAGCACAGACACCCTATTAACTCCATTTCAAAGTACATGAAGCTTTTAAGACAAGCAAAAAATTTGACACCTTCAGCCAAAAGTCCAGCATAATACATAGTAATTTTCAATGTTTCACTATACAACAGGATACCATAATGGTCCCAAAGCAGGGCCAGAGGGCGCTATAGCATCAAGCCAGTGCAGCCAATTAACATCATAGTGAAGGAAATCTGTTCATCACCAACACCTTTTACATGTTTCTGAGCCCACTTCATGTTTCCATGAAAAGACACATACCATCCACAGAGAACACTATTCCTAATCATGTTCCTCTTGTGCTTAATATTAGTAATGCAGGCAGCACCCGAGTTTTGTTAAGCTTCAGAGTGTGCACAACAAAACACAACTATAAAAAGATCCACACCTACTTCTTCAGCTTCAACATAAATTGAGAGATTTGCTCCACGAATAATCTGCACTGGCCCCCCGCTACACAAAGAAACTTCAACACCTCTCCAGCTCCGAAGAGCAAGGCTGGGACAAAAGCAGTGGCTAATGGTAGAGCCTAAAAACCCCAATGCCTTATTTCTAGAAAAAGGTGTATTCATGTTCTATAGAAATACCTTTATATGCAAGAACCATTAAAAACTCATTTTGAAGCTCATTATCTCATTCAATAATGTAATGCATCAGAGTTAGCAAAACTATAGCAACACTTAATGGACAAACATCCCAAGCATTTCTACACCTATTATCTCTTGCGAGTATATTATGTAGTGGTTCTGGTTATCCTCATTCACCTAAGAATGATACATTAACCAAGGACATTTTATCACAATAGTACAAGGATCATTAGATGGATCATGCCTATAGAGATTTTATATTGGATTCCCTCTGTTTGACCCATGTATCTATAGTCCAACAAACAACCCGCCCACCCTATACTTTCCCTCTCCTTGCCTGAGCCACTATGTGCCTCTAGTGTATTAAAGGCAACCCAATATGATTTTTGAAAATACCATGAATGCTATTTTACATGCTCCTATGTCAGTTGTTAGGCTTAGAAAATCCCTCCAACACAATCGTTGGAATTCAACCAGTTCACACATCCTGAATTCAACACACTGTTCAACACAATCTACTTCCAATTAAATCCTTGCTTAGCATTAGAGGTATCTGGTTGCAGAGCCAGAGGTTAGGGGTTCGATTCCCCACTGTGCCTCCTGTGATGGAGCCGGCCTGTGTAGCCTTGGGCAAGCTGCGCAGTCCCAGGATGCTCCCAGAAGAAACGAATGGTAAACCACTTCTGAGTATGCTCTACCTAGAAAACCCTGAAAAGGTCACCATGTTGGAATTGACTTAACAGTATACAATCATTAGTAGTAGCATTAGAAACTCTACACACTGATTTGCTCCAAATACAGAAGCAAAATCTTCCCTTGAATTGCAGGGGCGGCAATTTAAAAAGGGACACAACTATCTAACACGCCCTGCAGTATTTCACCTTTTCTTTTCAAACCTACCAAACTTCTTCAAGGCAGTGTGTTGTAGTGCATTATTTACCGGACTAGGACTCAGGAGATCCTAGAAGCTCATGGGATGGGTGTATGGTGTGGCAATAGAAAAGCATTCCTTGAACATCTTGCATGCTTTGAAACCCCTGTCACAGTTGCCATAACTTGACAGTATATAACAACAACAGTTCTTCAACATTGCAACCTGCTTCATAAATTCTCTGGAAGGTATATAATCAGTATAAAGTTGTGGTTTTTAAAAAGAAGGGAAAGGATGACAGCTACATCTCTTGTATATATATTCTCCTCTCTTTACCTAAAAGGAGTATGGTACCTGTTTCTAAGAGTGTCACTCAAGTGAAATTTATGGAGAAAATTCCAAGACGGACAACAAGGGTGATACCTTTATTATCACAATCAAAAAAATCACCCAAACCAGTGGTTCTTAGCCTTGGGTTACTCAGGTGTTTTTGGACTGCAACTCCCAGAAGCCTTCACCACCTGCTGTGCTGGCTTGGGTTTCTGGGAGGTACAGTTCAAAAACACCTGAGTAACCCAAGGTTAAGAACCAAACCACTCCACCACCACACAAACACACAAGCACAAACAATTGAACACGCTCTCCTCATCAGGTGAGATGTGAAAAATAAGCAAGAGAGGACAGAGAGAAGAGAAAAGGGAGAAAGGGCTAGATCTTAACTCCTTGCACAATTGTTCATGCTTTTGTGGGCTTCTTTGGTGCATTCTTGGTTAGCCTAATAAACACATCTGTTTAACAGTTATCTTGGAATTTATGTTATGCCAACACAGCTGTTCCTGTTTTTCTTTAAGGAGAAAAAGATTTCTTTATGCTCTGCTCCTTTGACAGTCTGAATCGACACACACTCTGGGTAAATGCATAACATACTTATTACACATTTAAATCACTATATGTGTCTTTGTTTCTTTCATGATTTCTCAAAATCATGTTGTTTATCTGGGACACAATTCTACCACTCTGTGAACACAGTATCAGGGGAAAGATTATTTGCAACTGATAAGCTTATAACTTCTTATCTACCTCACTTTACTTGATAGCCACCCACTTCAGCAGAGCTGATGAATTCTTTATCAGTATTTTGAAGAAATCAAGGAAGAAAATAAAATGTTATCTTTCTTGCAAGGTATCTCAATATATTTGCAAGCAGAGTATTTTCTTTAAAAAAAACCCTCAGAGATGAAGCCATGGAAATGCCCTTCATCATGCCAGTGGGACAAGAAGATTAGAAGCATGTGGACACTAACATGAGCAAATGAAAATGTAAGAGGAGATGGGCTGAAAGATGTAATTCAGATATGATAGGAGATACAGCTTTTGTTGATTCTTCCTCTATACATCACACTGCTGAAATCTAACTGGAAAAATCTATATAATCATGATGGCATCCATGGTTCTGACCAAATTCATTAAGAAGCTCGGATTAATCTATGGGGGGGGGATTATTTGGGGTTTACAAACTATGGCTTTTTTAAAAAGGAAATTCTGGAAGGATATGATAACAAAATATATTACAGAGAAAAATAATGATTACATACACCAGAAAATGAGAATCAAAAGGTTTCATAAATATCTTGAATTTAAGGGCGAGAGAAAATGGAAACAGGTTATTGCTTCAACTGTTGTTAAATCTTTACCAACAGGGCAGGGCAGGTAGTTTTTAAGCTTCTAGGATCTGCTTGGTTTTTCATCAGAACTTCAGTGTCTACTACCTAGAGTCAAATGTTAAACAGTGGCTTAGGAATTTAAAAACTAAATTTAAAAACTAGATGTTTCCTGATTTGCTCAGTTCATGAATCTGTTTTCAGTACCAGAACTGGAGAGCCTACACATATCCTGTCAGGCAACAATCTTATCAATGTTTCTCAATTTTAGAAATCCATGGAATTAGAAACAGTAGCTGGTGTATGGGCAATCAGGTAGACATCTACCAGTAGATCTGCCTGTCCGTGTACTTTGGGCAAACATTGGCTGAATTACTTTAAGTGGATTCAACTCATGAGGCAAAAGGAGTGACATGAACTTCTTACTGTCACATATAGTCCTGTATTCAATGATATCTACTACTGGAACTAGAAATGGTTTCCAGCCACACAGAGCACTGGATACTAACTCACAAGATGCCTCCCTTTATTTTATTTCATTTTTTAAATACAAATATAGCTGTACAAATATATACATATTCCAGTGCAAATATAGATTAAGAAAATTTGGTGCAATAAAGAATGCTTAAGGGCACGTACAAAGTACTAAAAACAAAACTTTCTATACTATTGCAATACAAAGAAACATGTTTCTACATGCCCTTATTAAACAAACAAACAAAAAAGATATATACACCCAAGGCTGGAAACACAAATACCATACCTAGTTACCAATAACCAATAGCTTTCAGCTCACAATTTCACATCTTGGTAACAATTTAACTACTACTAATACCTTTACAGAATAATAGCACTATTAGACAGCAAAGGAAATTCCGATTTCATCAGGGAAAACCATTGATGGTTATGCATTTTGTAAAAAAAAATGAATAAACCAAGAAATCATTCATTCTGTTCTTACACAATGTCAGGGATGACTGGGGGGAAAAAGAGACATTTTGAGCCACCTTTCTGGATAATAGAAAAGAAGTTACAGGTATTCCTTCTTATTTCTGTTATAATGAATCAGCAAAAGAATATTGACCATGACTGATGCATCCAAGCTCACTTCTTGTTTCACATTCACATGCCAACAGGACCTTTCAAAATCTTAAAACATAAAAAAGCTTCATCCCTCCTTTTTTAAAAAAGTAGAACTGGATTAACCTCATCAATAGTAACATAAGATGTGAAGAGGCAATCTTAGGAATTACTGGGCATTCCCCAAAAGATCTCTGAAAAATAGATGCATCTTAAGACAAGCCTTAAGACAGGGTGTACAACTGATGAAGAAGCTCAGACAGCAAGCATTTGTGAACTGCTTCCCTCCTTTGAAGTCTCCTGGTAGCCTAATAAATGCTATTTTGCCTTTGGTTTGCCTCCCTTTGAGGTGAGATACGGAGGAGCTTAAATGTTATCCTTAGCAGCAAGCTGCAGTAAAAAAAAACATCCTTGCGATCAAATAAAACATTCCAGTTTTACATACAACTGTTTTCACTACAGTTTTCCACCCATTCAAACACAAAGAACAAAAAAGTGTATCCTTTGACGGGCCATGCAGAATACACTTGGGAAGGCAACAGTAACATCACCTGAAGAGGTAAGAGGAATCAAAGAGCTGTAATATGAGTGCCTTTATTATGATATGA